GTCATTCAAGCTTTAAAGGAGAATCTTTACCTTTTGGACAAAAATAAATTAACTTTTGTTTATTTTTTTACAGGTAACAAAATGTGCATTTATTATTTTTGTCCAAAGCAGCCTGGAAAGCATTGCACTAGCTATCAGTAGATCACTGATGCCATGCAGGTCTCCTATACACCTGCCAGAATATCTTCTTGCTGTACGGGATGTATGGTCAAGCAGATATTCTGACAGGAAGCTTGAATGAACTACCACAGTGCTCCACAGCGCCATGGTAGTTCATTGAAAACTACAAGACCCCAGCTGCCAAGGCTGCTGGGACTTGTAGTCACTCATTCACAGAACTCTGAGTGATGTGGCTGTGTGGGCGGAGCCCTGCAGAGCCACACTGTTTTCAAATCTGACAGATAGTACTGGGGAAGCTTCCCATACTATCTGTCAGAGGGAGGGCGGCTCTGACTGAGGGAACATGTTACATGTTCCACCCTAAAAACGGGTGGAACATGTAACATATTCCAAAGGTGAACTTATCTTTTAAGGCAAGTTTCACATAATGTGCTAGTGTGCGATGCATACTAGCACATTATTTGTTTCAGGTATATATATTATTGCCCAACGCATAAAATTCAAACTACTAACACTGATGTATAAAGCTGTTCATAATACTGCCCCAAACTGCATCACCGACCTGATATCCAACCAATCCACCCAAAACGCACTCTCCGCTCCTCACAAGACCTCCTACTCTCCAGTTCCCTGGTATCCTCCTCCCATGCCCATCTCCAGGACCTCTCCAAGGCTTCCCCCATCCTCTGGAACTCACTACCCCAATCCATCAGACTGTCACCTACCCTCCTCACCTTTAGGCGCACCCTTAAAACCCATCTCTTCAGAGAAGCCTACCCTGCCCTCACCTAATTGCCGATCTCCACTCTTCCTACCACTCCATCCCCCACAGCTTTTTCCTCCTGTACCACTCTCCCCTCCCTCCTAGATTTTGAGCTCCAAGGAGCAGGGCCCTCGAACCCCTCATGTATTTTATTGTATTGTTACTGTATTGTCTCATGTATTGTCTCCCATTGTAATGTACAGCGCTGAGCAAACTGTTGGCGCTATATAAATACTGTGTAATAATAATATATAGCGCTGTCAATTTACACAGCACTTTACATATATATTGTACATTCACATCAGTCCCTAACCCTCAAGGGGTACACAATCTAAGGTCCCTAACTCGCATTCATACATACTAGGGACAATTTAGACAGGATCCAATTAACCTACCAGCATGTCCTTGGAGTACCCAGAGGAAACCCACGCAGGCACAGGGAGAACATGCAAACTCAGGCAGGTGGTGCTGTGGCTGGGATTTGAACCAACGACCCTAGTACTGCCAGGCGGAAGTGCTAACCATTTAACCACTGTGCTGCCCATATACACATACATTATATTACCTTGCAGGAGGAAACTTTTTTTTTTATTTTATATAACAGTTTTACTAACGCTTTAACACTGATTTATACACATATATGACCCAGTGCTTGTTTATCTCCTAGACAGAAACATTGTAGTAAATGTTGTTTTATATGTGTAGTTGGCTCTGTTGGGGGATGTGTGGGTGTAATACAGAATCCACAGCACTGACAAGCGTTCTGGGACCTGGGGAGCTTTGCATGGTTCTAGGAATAAAGTCAGCATATTTTCTACTTATTTGCCAAGCTGACCTCTCCCTGCTGCTTGGGAGGGGAATCTGTATTGTCATCGGGCCAGATTCAGCAGTTTTTTCCTTTTTTTCATTTAAACAGTGAAAACTTTTTTTCAAATGTAAATGTTGGTCTTGGCACCATAGACTTGTACATTACATGTGTTTTATTATCTTTACTGAATCATTCAATCTTCTCAGCTTCTGTAAATATATACACAAATACGTTGTCTCTGTTTTGGTTCATTTGCTTTTTTTCTACTGGCATATCCTTTTTATTTCATATGTTCTGACACATGGCATGTTATGTGAATATTCTGAATTGTTGGTTTTTGTTTTTTTTTTAAATATATGACCAGGCACAATATTTGGGTTTTTGATGCAGATCTGAAGTCAGAATACTGCTATAGCTCAGTGTTTCTCAACCTTGTTTCAGTCAAGGCACCCTTTAAAACTATGGATAATCTTAAGGCACCCTTTAAAACTATGGATAATCTTAAGGCACCCTTTAAAATTTTGCACAATCTCAAGGCACCCCAAAATGTATAAAACTATTCTACACACATCCAGTACACCCAACATTTGATGTGATTTATTCTTCCAAAGCAAATACACCTTTGCACACTGGTCCTGACTAGTATCCCAGTGTGTCTCTCTGTTTCTCTCCCTTACTCTAATGTGATCTCAGTGCTGATGGAGAGGGGCAAACAATAGGATGTGCTTGCACCCGATGTCCTTATCGACTGATTGTCATTGGTTGTTAGGATGCAGGCAGCTAGAAAGTCATAAAAGCGCACAATGAAAACCTGTGGCTTTGTGTACTAAAAGGCAGGGGTGTATTTTGCCGTGAGGCAAACAAGGCATCTGCCTTGGGCGGCACTTTTCAGGGGGGCGTCACCGCCCCCAGGCACAAGGGACCAGTGCTGTCGCTGCAAAGGGCTGTGCTTGGCCAGCTGCATAACACCAATGATCTTTTTAGCTGTGCCAGTGAATTGGTTCTAGCAGGGATTCCTCAAAACCTAAAACAACAAACTAATTCAAAGGTTACTCTGGAGCCAAAATGCTGGATTTTGAATCACTGTTTCTGATTAATTTTCTTCTCTCCTATCTTCTGTCCTGTTGGCTTTTGCCCTTGTAACAAAAAATGATAGGAAATCCAAAATTTTACAGTTGTCCCTAGAACTAGAATAGGACGACAGTCTTCTAATGGGGACACTTGTTCTGTGGACAAAGGAATTTCCATTATTTTGTGGAGATTACCTTTCACTTTCTAATCATTGTCATGATTTAAGCACATAATTGAGTGACCTAACCCTTTTTGGATAGCTACATCTGATTTATCAGTAAGGCAAAGGCAGCTTCAAGTGCAATGTCTCTTTAGACAATCCAGAGTGCTCTAAAAAAACCTTTGTTATATGTTAAATCCCAACTGAACATTCAGTTTAAATCTGCTGCCTTCTATATGCATCACCTTCAGCTGTCAATAGATGGTTTGAGATTCAGCCAGTTCAGCAGAGACCAGACAAATTTTGATTCCTCTACTGCCGTTCCCGCTGTATAAATGTCGTTCTAACAATTGTCTTCTGTTGAACAGGACAGCTGGAAAACATTTTCTTGATCAGCTGGCAGCAGTCGATCAGGGTATTCTGACAGCTGATGCTGTCAGAATACAATGGCACAGTGAGGAGGATTCCTCCACCCACCTACAATGTGTGGATGAGGGAATCAGTCTATGGCCAGCCTTAGTTATTGAAAAACCAGCCACAGCCTTAATAGTAGCCTGTCTCCTGCCAGCATACCGCAGTCCAGGATCCTTGCTCTCGGGTGTCGAGGCTGTTTCTCTACAGAGCTGACACATGCTCTGCGAGGTTAAAGATAGAATTATTAGATCAGCAGGGAGCAAAAGCCTAGCTGGTTGCAGAGCAATAGGCATGGAGCTTTTTGGACCTCTGCAGTGTGGCCACTGCTTCTCCACAGTGAGCAGGGGTTCTTCTCTGCAGCATGCTGACAGGTTATAGGCTGCTTGTTGCTGAATGTTGTTACTGCTTTTAAAGTGATTCTAAAGGTTGCAATTAAAAAAAACAAAAACAAAACATACTTACATGTTATACTTATCTGCTCTGTGCAGCGGTTTTGCACAGAGCATCCCTGATCCTCTTTTTTGGGTCCCCCACTGGCGGTCCTGGCTCCTCCCTCCCCAGCCAGGTGCTCTTGAGCTGCACTCCTGCAGATGGACATTGTATATTCACACACACTGTGGTTTGGCTCCGTCCCTGCTCCCTCCTCATTGGTTCACTGGCTGTGATTGACAACAGCAGGAGCCAATAGCTCCCGCTGGTGTGCAAGCCAATGAGGAGAGTGAGACCTGGGAGAGCCACAGCTCTTTGCACATCGCTAGATCAAGATAAGGCTCGGGGGGAATGGAGATGGAAGCTGCACCCAGATGGTTTTTCCCTTCATATATAGAATGCATTAAGGTAAAAAAAAAAAACACCTGCCTTTTTTAGAACCACTTTAAACGAGAAAACTGTAATGCTCCCCTTCTTGTTTGACACACCTGTAATGTTTTTAGCTGACATAAAAGCCAATTCAGGTATGGCAATTTTTATAGTTATATTGGTCCAACGTAAGTATGTATGTGCCATACCTCTGGATCCCCATTGAAACCGGAAATCGCTGTAGTAGGCACTGCTACTACAGTGATTTCCACCATCTTCTGGGTCCTGTGCCGAGCTGCTTCCATGCTGCCATGAGAAGAGGAGACGCTCACTCGGCACAGAGGGGTGATGTCACAATCTCAACCTTATCCAACCAGAGAACACTTTGCATTCATTGAGAAAAGTTGTCGACCTCTTGTGTTCGGTAAGTGGCAGGGTAGCTGCTTGGCACTGGACCCAGAAGCTAGTGGACATTACTGTAATAGTTGTGCCTACTGCAATGATTTCCAACTTCAAGGGTGACCCAACGGGTATGACACAAACATACTTACCGGTACATTGGACCAATGTAAAAATTGCCACACCTGGAATTCAGTTTTATACTGGAAGTTTAATTGGGCTTTAAATGTTTGCTAAATAAAATGTGTATGTGTATTGTGAAAACAGGCAACATTTGCCAAATAATGATAAAATACCAATTTACAAATTACAAACCCCAATTTTAAAAATGACCCTATACCATTATTTCCCTTTTAAATGTGGCAGATCTTTTAGTGTTGTGTATTTTTAATTTTAAAACCAGATGTGTTCATTGCTCACTCCTTGTGGATCCTTGAATCTTTGTAATGCAAATGTATTCGGAACTGATGTCCTTTTATTTTGCTTCCCTCCCATCCACAGGAGATAAAGCTTTGGATGGCTACAGCAAGAAGAAATATGTCTGCAAGCTGCTTTTTATCTTCTTACTTGGCCATGACATTGACTTTGGCCACATGGAGGCGGTGAATCTGCTCAGTTCCAACAAGTACACAGAGAAGCAGATTGTGAGTCAGACTTTTTAATATGTTTTTATAGCACCTCGATTTGTACAATTTTGTGTTCCTAGAATCTATACTGATTTGCATCTGAGAGGATCTGTGGTAGATGAACCTGTCAATTAAAAAAAAAAAAAAAAAAAAAAACATGTCATGAGAGTAATAGAGGACTACCATTGTCAATCTCCTTTTTAAATTGATAGAAGATGCAAAACTGTCTGTTGATCCTGCCAGAATTATAGTGAACTTGTAACTTCTAGTGTTCTCTGCTGTGTTATTTTAAGTAGTGTTGTTAGCGCTGCCCAAATTACGTCAGCGAAATACAGAACCCCTCCCTATGTTGTCATGGGGATGAGGAGAAGGAAAGGTGTTCTGTAGTCCTAACACTTCTTGTCCCTTGGTGTCAATGGTGCTCCTTCATAGGGTGAATTTGATTTAAATAATCACTAGTGAAAAGACTCGATTTTAAATCATAATTTTTAAAGAGCAACTGTCATGTCTGTCCCGTAGCGGCTCCTCTCACCGGATGTTGACTCACCGACAGCCCAATTTACTTTAATGGGATGGCTGGTGATGCGACAGTGACTCAGCAAGGTGAGGGACATGCCATGGTGGATCTAAAATGAGAGGTGCTCTTTAAATGTAAGGAATCCAACTCATAAATATTGCAGAATTTACAGCCTCATGCTGCATAACTAAGCTCCATTTCATGCTGAATAAACTAAATTATTAATGTATCTTAAATAGAAAACTATCTTTAGAGAGATGTATACTCCATAAGCATTTAATTAAAAAATAAATTTGATTAAAAATAAAAAAAAATGATTTTTAAATAAAAAAAATCCAATTTAAATAAATGTTTTTTAGAATTTTTTTAATTTTTAAAATCATCGTTTTTTTATCCACCCTGTCCATAGATAATGGCCCGTAAGGAGGCAGTAAGTGGACTGGTGACAGGAGGTAGACCGGGTATGCAGTGTGGAAAATGTGCATAAATCACAATATGGTTTATGTAGAATAAATAATCCTGCTGTAGAAAATGTGCATCAATCACAAGATGGTCTATACAGAGTAAAAACCATCTCTTTGCAGAACACGTATAAATCACAGCATTATCTATACACATTTAAAATTCCTGTTGCGGTTAAAATGGCAATGTAAGTGTGTTTTTTTTTTTTTTTTTTTGTGTTTTTTTTCTTTTTTGCCTGTAGCCTTGCTTTAAGTTGGACAGAATGTCTATTGGATAGTTACAGTCAGTTTGTATTATAGCTTTGCCACATCACACGCAGGGGAGGACAGGGCAAATTGTACTGCTGAAATGTAGCTCAGGCAAAGTTTCTGGGATAATTATTTATCTCGATTTAGCTTTTAGGCATGCTGTAATAGGTGTAGATCGTTCCAGCACATTGTATGACAAGTCTGCTCTAATTTTCATTAAAACTGTTTTTAATAAATCAATGCCAATGTGTTTTTCACACAGACATGTCGTTCATATACTAAATATTTGAATAACTACCGGTAGTTTTCCAGAAACTCATTGCAGAAGTGTTACAAAATGCAAAAAATGATTGTGTGTGCAGAATAGGATTTTAAATTATATTTGAAACACTGTTTTTTTGTGTGTGAGGATCGCCACTTGTTTGAATTTGGCTCTATTTTCTTATCTCTTGAGCTTTCGCCTGGGTGCCCCACTAAGCTTGCCCAGCTACCTTTTTTTAGTGCACAACATGCATGCCATTTTGGGACCCAGCTGAGACTTTTCTGTTTTCTACATCACTGGCAGCAGTGATCCCTTGGGATGTTTCTTCAGGGCTCTCTGTTGCCTTGAAGATGACAAGCAGCGTTAACCCCTCCTGCCCTGCAGTGTAGTAGGAGTACATCTAGGGGAGTTCTCTCTCACTTATATATATCAGGGTGGATAAGTAAAAGGGGTGGTGGTGGGGAGGGAGAACATCCCTTGGGGTCTTACTGGATCATGTTCAGCTAGCATGCAGTGGTCCTCAAGAGTTCAGCCTGAACCTATGCCCTTCTCAAGGACCCCTTTAACCCCTTCTGGGGTGGGTCACTCTTGTTTATGGTCAGCTCTCAGTCTTTTTAAAGTCCTGTGCCCATGGGGACCCCAAGCGGGCCCCTCTACCTCTCCCCTAGAGTCTCTCTGATCTTCCTCTATCAACAGTTGCAATTTCCTATTCAGATGTCTAAGATGAAGATGGTCCGGTAAACTTTGAAGATATCTGCATTCTGAATTTCCTTAAACCCTAAGGATGCTATTTTCATCCGTATTGACACTGTGCTTCTTGATTTAGAGCTCCTTGCATCGACCTTCCTAAAGGTCAAAAGCTGGGTTCTCTAAAAATGACTTGACCTGCCAATTCCTTCACTCTACACTGTTCACTACTGTTACAGCTTCTTTGGAGGGCGAGAGGTTTCCTGATTGCTATTCCAACCTGTTCACTGTCCCCAAAGGGAGGCATCCACCCCATTCTTATGGCCGATTCGAACTGGAACACGCATGTTTTTTTTTGTTACAGTCCATTTCAATGGGCTGCCAATTGAAATGGCCAAAAAGTACAGCAGACGCGACTTTTACAAATTGAGATGCACCAAACCTCATGGTACTGTGCTACTATGTGGTTTGGTGGCAGCAAATGTGCTCCGTTAAATGCGTTTGGGGTGCCATTAACAATTAACACTTGTCTAACCAGGGCAGCGCTTTCCTGTGTGGTGCGGGAAACTGCCTTCTGGTGTAAACCATTCCTCAACCTAAACAATCTCAACAGATTTATTTAAGTTCAAAATTGCTTATGGACTTTGCCCTATCTGTCATTGTTTCCCTTCACCCCTTTTTCTGGTCGCTGTGAACCTTTGGTCTGTCCACTCCATCCTTGGATCTTTGCCAAAGTGCTAGCCTCTCTTGTTCTGCTTTGCTCCCAAGCATACTTATTATGGGATATCTGCCCAACCTTCCTCCCCAGAACAGTTGGTGTGGCCTCTACCAGCCAGTGTCCTTTTGAACTGTTCAGAATCTGTAGGGGTTCAGTTGGATCCTCAGTCTTTTGAAAACCAGGCTGAAACTGTCTCATCCCTTGGAGTATCTGGGCTTGGTGCCGAAGATGGCCCTGCCCAAAGTCTTCCCTCTACTGGAAAAATTCTAACCTCTCTGCTCCCATGCTTGGGCTCTACAGTCCCAGGAAACAATCAACCCTCTGCTTTTGCATGAAGGTTTTGGGCCTGATAGTGGCTTCCTTTTGAGGCTGTCCCATATGCTTAATATTATTCCAGACTGTTGTAATTCCAAAAAATTGGCAAAGTGGGACAGGCCGGCTCAGTCCGTTGATCAGTGCATCAGCCTCCCAAAAACCAGGTTTGCTCTGACCTGGTGGAATTCGGGTCTGGCAGTGGAAATTGGAAAATCCTTCCTTCCCAGTGGTCTGGGGCATGTATACAAGAGTTACAAGCCTGCCAGTCTGGGGAGCAATCCTCAAGGTAAGAAATTTAGTCCCTGAGGAAAGCTGGTTTCTGCTGAAGCTCAAGGTGCTTCAGTTGTCCCTTCAGCACTGGACATCTCATTTCCACAGTCATTTTGATTAGGTTTCAGTAAGACAATATCATGACTTGCATCAACCATCAGATAGGAACCAGAAGTCTCGTGACTCTGAGGAGTGAATTTGATTCTTGCCTGAATGGGAAGTCATGTTCCTTTCCTGTCCTCCATGCACATCCTTGGCATGGAAAATTGGACTTCCTCAGTAAACAGCGTCTCCAGAGTAGTTTTCTTCACTAAAAAGTGCTTCTAGACTTCTGTTGATTATTCTGGATTGGGTGGGAGGCTGCGCACAGACTTGCTGCCTAACAGGTTCAACAACAAACTGGCCAGGTTTGTCTCCAGGTTCCGGTATTCCCTGACCTTTGCAGTAGATGCCCTAGTGATTCCATGGGAACATTTTAAGCTGATTTATTTTTTGCGTTCTAAATATTCCTTACTTAGCTGCTTTGCAGGATTAGCAGGATTCCCATTGCACTGTACTGGCCTAGGCAGTCATGGTACTCTGATCTCATCAGGCTCATTTTGGTCTTTGTGGGCCCTCCCAGATCATCTCTATCTTCTGTCTCCAGGACCAGTTTACCACCACCCTGCTTCTAAGTCACTGGCTTTAATAGCTTGGCACTTGAAGCTCTGGACAGTTATCCCTACGCCATTGAAGACCAGGAAGTTGACTTCTTGCAAAAGTCTGCCATTGTGCCTTGAAAGTGAATTTCTTGTGATATAAGACATAGAATTTCTATTCAAGAAAGTACTATCTTTTCTCCAGTCTGTTGTGGATCAGCGTCTGAACTTGAGTATCATCAAGGATCAAAACTCAGTTCAAGGGATTTTCTTCTAGAGATCTTTCTTTTCACTCCTTGTGAAGGCCTGTGTGCAGGGTGTCTCTTACATTATTCCTCCTGTATGCTCTCCAGTGTCTCGTGGAATCTTAATCTGGTTTTGGAAACCACCATTTGAACCTATTAGATATGTTCCTCTATCAATCCTTACACAAGGACAAGATTGTTTTGAGGCACAGATCTCTTTCCCTCCCACAGTGGTTTCTTCCTTTTACCTTAACCAGGAAATTGTTTTACCATCTTTGTTCAGCTTCTGAACATTCTTCAGATATTCTCCTTTATTGTCTGGATGGGTGCATGCTGTTTCATTTTATCTCTTTGCTGCAGCTTCCTTTCGTCAGTCTGGCTCTTTGTTGTTCATTCCTGAAGGTCCCTGTAGAGGACAGCTTGCTTCTCGCCCCACTATTGCCAGGTCGATTCACCAGCTTATCATTCACGCTTACCTCAGATGCAGGATTCCCTCTTTTCAAAGCCGTCTCCACTTGATCCGCCCTTGCTATTCTGTTTTGTTTTCCTTGTGGCCTGTTAGCCTCTCATTTGCTGTTGCCCACCCCTCCAGTTAGGAAACAAGAAAAAAAATGCAATGTATCACAGTGAGAAACTGAAATCACAAATCTAAAATGTGAACATCAATTTATTCCATTTTTATCTGCAACTCCCTGTGTTAAAAATGTGCTCAGTCTTCAGTTAAAAATGTTTTTCTAAGTTTATGAATAAAGTGTACTTCTAAGTAGAAAGTCTCCACTGACCCCTCTGAGATGTATGCTCACGTCTGATGTAAACCTTCTCTACAACGGTCAAATGAATGTTGCAAAACGCTGCATTCGGCTAAGTACCAATATTCCTAATCACATGAATCTCCAGCTCCGCATCACTTGTCTCCCAAGACAGGATCAGTCTCCTAGATCAGCAAGCAAAGCTCAGCCCAGGGAAATGTATCCCCCACTCAAGATGAGAAGGAAGCATAGACTGCCAAAGTGTTCTCTGTATTGACTTTACAAAAATAAAAGCAATAAAATAACATTCACATAGGTCAGAAGACAAATTGCTTCATAAACAGTAAGAGAAGCAAACAGCGCAGTTTTCTGGGCAATATAAAGTGAGTTGCCAGATGTAGGGATAAAACCACACTTGCATATACAGTTGTGCTCAAAAGTTTGTATACCTTTTTGGAGAATTGATATTTGTATGTACCATTTTTAAAGAAAACATGAGTGAGCAGGCAAAACACATTTCTTGGTAGTATAGGCCTTGTTGACCCCTCTCCAAACCTAGCGTTAAGGATTGTGACCATAAAGCTCTACTTTGGTTCTCGTCACTCCAGATAACAATGTGCCAGAAGCTGTGAGGCATATCAAGGTGTGCTCGGGCATATTGTAACTGGGCTTTTTTTGTGCATTGGCACAGTAAAGGCTTCTTTCTGGCAACTCATCCATGCAGCTCATATTTGTTCAAGTATCGTCATATAGTGGTCCTTGAAATAACCACAATGTCTTTCCAGAGCAGCCTGTATTTCTCCTAAGGTTACCTGTGGGATTCTTTGTATCCCAAACAATTTTTATGGCAGTTGTGGCTACAATCTTTCTACCTGACCCTGCCTTGGTATTGCGATCCCCTAGTTTTCCACTTCTTTAAGTGATAGAACTGACATTAAACTTTAATTGCCATTTTAACCTGTGTGTCACTTATGTCTATACCAAGGCCAAACATTCCAGGGTATGTAAACTTTTGATCAGGGCCATTGGGTGATTTATGTTTATTATTATGATTTTAAAAGGAGCCAAACAACTATGTGATGATAAATTTCTTCATATGATCACTTATTCTAAATACATTTTTGTTTTGGCATGATCGTGATATTTTTAATATCTGTGCCAAAATTTCATGATTTTTGTCGGGGTATGCAAACTTTTGAGCACCACTGTAGTTGCATCTCCCGCAGACCACCTGGCTAAGTGCAGTACATTTGATTTATAAGGATTGGAGTGAATCATCACGTAGTGTGTGAAGCTTGGTATTTTTGGGCTTTTGCGTGGAATAATTCTTTTGAAATATCACCAGAGTACTTCATCTACTGTCCTGTAATGTGCAATTTTAAGAAAATTAATTTTAAAGCAACACTTTGACTCCTGTATGTTTTTCAAAGCAAAATGCATGCAAGAGCCCACCTTATCTGTAGTGCCAAGCAGTTGAAGTTAAAGTTTATGTATAAAACTTTTTGGGTGGAATAGAGAATGATTAAAACCCATCAGCTTGATTTCTCTGTCTGAGTAGTTTTTGTAGTTACTTAATGTCTAGGAGATATGCATTTTGGTATGCCAATTTTTTCAGAAAGTGACTTTGATTTAAATATAAAGCTGTCTGTTAACAATTGTTTTGTCTTTTTCTTCATCTTAGGGTTACCTGTTCATCTCAGTACTGGTGAATTCAAATAGTGAGCTTATCCGCCTCATTAATAATGCCATCAAAAATGACTTGTCTAGCCGCAACCCCACCTTCATGGGACTGGCTCTGCACTGTATTGCCAATGTAGGTAGTAGAGAGATGGCAGAGGCCTTTGCTGGAGAGATCCCAAGGATACTGGTTGCTGGGTAAGAGTGTTTATTTTTACTTGTAGATATAGTAAATGTAAAGTAGATCTATAATAAATATATAATTGATTATCGTGATTATATCATCTTGAAATACGTGATCCTGAGATGTATCAACTAGAATTCTCATTCCATGATTTTTTGGCCAAGTGATTGCACTTGCTTTTTTCGTTTACAAAGAGAAATCGTGAAATAACTCTTGAAGAGTTATCCCTGAATTATAAAAGTCTACACTTTTATTCCTTTAAAAAACAAATCTTGACAAAGTCTATCAGAAGAAACGCCTTGTCACCTGATGTGCCCCAGCGCTCAGGAAGTGGGAATAAAAATGTTTAATGAATGTAAGATGAATTCATATTGGTATGCAGAGCTGCACTCCGTGTGATTTATTGTGTGAGGATGGGAAGGTCCATTTGAAAATTGATATTGCTGCTGTGATGCTTTCAATATATACTATATAATTTACATCAGTCAGTGCTGTATGAACTGATGCTATCGGTTTAATATCTTACACTATGTATTATGATTGATTACATCCTACTGCATTTTATATATGGAGGATGAAGAATCGGTGTGCAGTCTGCCTTATTGGACATACGTTTGTGGATTAGGGTTATTGAACAGAGCACTTCTCACAGCATACATATGCAGATACACTATTTATGCCAACAGTATTGGGACACCTGCCTTTACATGCACATGAAGGCCAAGGTTCAGTGTTGGGACCCTTGCGCTTTAATATATTTATAAACGATATAGGGTCTGTGATTAAAAATCCCATTTCAGTCATTGCAGATGACACCAAGCAGTGCAGTGGAATAACGTCCTTACAGGATGTCTTCAGTTTACAAGCCGACCTCAATGCACTGTTTAATTGGGCAACTATGTGGCAGATGAGGTTTAATGTTGATAAATGTAAGGTTATACACTTGGGGGCTAAGAACATGCATGCATCATACATACTAGGGGGGTACAACTGGGGGAATCAATGGTGGAGAAGGATCTGGGAGTTCTGGTAGATCACAGGAACTGAATTTATTCTCTCTTGAGAAGAGGAGATTAAAGGGAGGATATGATCAACATGTATAAATACATCAGTGGTTCATATTGAGTTATTCACCCTGAGGTCATTACAGAGGACAAGGGGGCACACTTTACATCTGGAGGAAAATAAATTTTAATCTCCAAATATGGAAAGGTTTCTTCACAGTAGGAGCTGTGCAAATGTGGAGTAGACTCCCTCAAGAGTTGGTTCTGGCCAGCTCAGTGGATTGCTTTAAAATAGGCCTGGATTCTTTCTTAGATACACAGAATATAACTGGATACTAACATGTATAAGTAAAGTTGATCCAGGGACTAGCCGATTGCCTCTCGGAGGATCAGGAAGGAATTTTTTTGCTCTACAGTAGCAAATTGGATCATGCTTTGCTGGTTTTTTTGCCTTCCTCTGGATCAACTGTAGGTATAGAATTATACATTTTTTTTTTTATGGTTGAACTGGATGGACTTTTGTCTTTTTTCAGCCAGCCTAACTATGTAACTATGAACTTTAATGGCATCCCAGTCTTAGCCCATAGGGTTCAATATTGAGTTGGCCCACCCTTTACAGCTATAACAGCTTCAACTCTTCTGGGAAGGCTGTACACACAAGGTTTAGGAGTGTGTCTATGGGAATGTTTGACCATTCTACCAGAAGCACATTTGTGAGGTCAGGCACTAATGTTGGACGAGAAGGCCTGATTCACAGTCTCCTCCCTAATTCATCCCAAAGGTGTTCTATCGGGTTGAGGTCAGGACTCTGTGCAGGCCAGTCAATTTGACCTTGCTTTGTGCACTGGTGAGCAGTCATGTTGGAACAGCAACTGGCCATCCCTAAACTGTTCTGATAAAGTTGGGGAGCATGAAATTGTCCAAAATGTCTTGGTATGCTGTTGCTTTAAGAGTTTCCTTTATTGGAACTAAGGGGCCAAGCCCAACGCCTGAAAAAGAGCCACACACCATAATCCACCCTCCACCAAACTTTACACTTGGCACAATGCAGCCAGGCAAGTACCGTTCTCCTGGTAGCTGCCAAACCCAGACATGTCCATCGGATTGCCAAACAGAAAAGCATGATTTGTCACTCCAGAAAACACATCTCCACTGCTAGAGTCCAGTGGCGGCATGCTTTATACCACCGCATCCGACGCTTTGTATTGCACTTGAGGATGTAAAGCTTTGGTGCAGCTGCTCGGCCATGGAAACCCATTCCATGAAGCTCTCTATGCACTGTTGTGCTAATCTAAAAGCCACAAGAAGTTTGGAGGTCTTTTAGCTATTGACTCTGCAGGCAGTTGTTGACTTCTGTGCGCTTTAGTATGCGTTGACCCCGCTCTGTCATTTTATATGCCCTACCACTTTGTGAGTTGCTGTTCCGAGTTGCTTCCACTTTGTTATAATACCACTAACAGCTGACCGTGGAATATTTAGTAGCAAGGAAATTTCATGGATGGACTTATTGCACAGGTGGCAACCTATCAGGGTACCACGCTTGAATTCACTGAGCTCCTGAGAGCGACCCATTCTTTCACAAATGTTTGTAGAAGCAGTCTGCATGCCTAGGTGCTTGATTTTATACACTTGTGGCCATGGAGCTGATGGGAACACCTGAATCCAGTGATTTGGAGGGGTGTTCTAATACTTTTGGCAATATAGTGTATGTGCATTAAAGGACTGTACCAAGCCCCCCCCCCCCCCTTTTTTTTTTTCTTTTCTTTTAGCTTTGGCTATTGTGAACTAGCCAGCTCATGGTGTGTGTGTCATTGGGCAGTCTTTGTACTGACAGGTTGTGACAGTAAGGTGTGTGTGAGTGTGTGTGTGTATGTATATAATATGTATTTTTATTTATATATATATATATATATATATATATATATATATATATATATATATATTTAATTAATTTAATTGCCACCTTTCTCAACCGGGGTTCCTAAGCTGGTAGGGGATCCTTGAGCGATGAGCAAATCCTGCTTCTGCAATATGTGACCACTGACAACCGTGATCTTTTCAGCTATCTGAGTAAAAGAGGCGCTCTTCCCAATTAACTCAATTTTGGGGAACATTCTGCCCACGGACCATTTTGAATACAATTTTTATTATTCAGGGGTAATTCTTGAAATTAAGTCCATTTTTCATATGCAACTTCAATCTTTCCTGCAGTCCTGGAAAGTTTCTTGCATTTACTTGCATATCTTGTGTCCTTCCCTGTGCTGCATAGGTTCCCGCACACTTCTGGCTGTAGGATGACTAGTGTCACATGGCCTTTTCTGTACAGCCACCCTCCACAAACATTTTTCACTGAAGTTCTCAGGACTAGGGTAACACGAACGAACGTCTCAGCAGGCACTGAACCTCCCTGCATGAAGATGGGACAGTTGCATAGCAGCTACATCTGTGGAGTGAATTTTGTAATTTCCTAGGCACAAAAAAGAATATTGTGCACATTGACTGGGGTACAGGAGTTGGAATAGGAGTAATTTATTTTTTTAGTAGCTAGAGATTGGCTTCAAATTGTTATGTAGGTAGTATGAGGTGTGACAGTTTAATTCCCAGAATGGACCAGTGATAACCCTATCACACATCTGCATTCTTCAAAAGATGGGATGAAATTTGAAGACTATGTTCTTTCTGATTTTATGTCAGGAGTCAAGGCACCATCTTTGTGGAAATCTTTCTCATTCCCAAATCCTTTGTTAGAATCTGCCACACTGTTTCCCTGTTCACGTTCAATTCTTTTTCCATTGTTTGCACACTCAGTATTTGATCTGAGCGTACAAGGGTTTGCACTCTGTCCACATTTGCATCCGTCCTTTGCATTTTTGGCTGCCCACTCTTTCATCATCATGGACAGCTTCCCTCCCCTCCTTAAACTAGCTATGCCATTCAGAAACACTTGATTTCTTCATGGAATGCCCTCCATAAATTTTAACAGCTAAAGTTTTACTTGCACTTTTGCCAATTTTCACACAAAATTTGATGGTAATCTGCTGCTCCAGTTTGCTGTCGCTTCTTTTTAGCAGAACGCACGTTATTTCTTCTACTACTCATAAAGATTGAGTCCACTGGCTAGTGTAAGTTAAAAATGTCAAAACACGCTCGAGTGGGAATGGCTGTGTGACTCGACCACCATAGTACTATGCCGTGGACATTCCAGAATTAAATTGTCACACCTCGTATATGACTGGCTGCCTAGATGAGAACATGTACAATGGACTAATTGGATTCCATTTTTGGTACAGTTTTTTATTCTAATATATGAAAGAAGAAATATTTTGATAAAGTTTTCCAACTTTGAGGTTGGAAACTCCTTTGGAAAGCATGAAATGCTATACATTTGTGTTTAAGAAAAAAAAAAAAAAAATTGCAGAAACTTCAGTGAAGTGTAGGGATGGAACTTTTGGAGCTGCCCACAAGTAGATAGGTTTTGTGTCCCTACATTTTCTGTAGCTACATGCTTAGTTCAGGTCATTTACTCACAAAGTAGTAAAGCAAGGATGAAGCTTGTACCTTGAATCTTTTTAGAACCAGCCATTCATCATAAATATTCCCATCCTGACAGTTTCTTCTAAATTGAACCTGTGCCAATATCTTACATACCAAGGTGTTTATATGTATTGAACAAGTACTAAAATGTGTTGAACAAGCTCTCATTCATCTATATCTTATAAGATTCCTGAATAATGTAATTTTCAAAATTCAAAGCCCTGGCAATGGGGTCTTAAAAAAGAACAGATCTCGGTAGCCTGCTTGCCCTCTAATGTAAACAAGCAGAGCTTGTTGGAAAGGACAACCCAATTCTTTGTTTTGTTTAATCTTGTTGTGATCTTGTGAAGCAATAACGTCACAGTACGCAGCTAGGTAGGTCGGGTGTTGCTCGTATTAACCCACTGAGCTCACACATAGGCAGTATCATGGATGTGGGTCGTCTTTCAAGGCGGCACATGTATGCATTGTTGGTGCTGAAAGCATGCTCTAAGTATGCTATTCCCAGCACAGAGACTGAGCTACCGTTCATGTCTTCTGGCCCTGTACAAATTTTCAGGAGAAGGGAGGACCTGCTCTCATAACTGTGATAGTCTGTGGTTGACTATTACATTGATCTCTCGTTAAAACCCAATGTTGTACTCTTTCTCCTCGGAGTGGAGAACAAGATACATTGGGGAGAATTTATTAAAACTAGAGCGGCCAGAATCTGGAGCAGCAGTGCATGGCAACCAGTCAGCACGGTGTGCTCCCAGGTCCCATACCAACGATTGGGACCCGAAACTCCCCAGTCTGGGTCACCTGATCGCTGTGATAGCCTCTGATCAGTCACTCTGCCGCCCGCCCTCTGGAAGATATGTGGTTTTGTTACGATCATCAGGAGCTGGAGAATTTATTTTGGGTTGTTCCTTGGTGGTAGGTTATGGTAGTAACAAGAAACACACAGCTAAATTTAAACAAAAAAGTTATTTTGTTACTATTTTGGGCCAGTTTTCCTTTGATAATAAAAAAACAAAAATCAGGAGATATCCATTACTATTTACCATCAAATGAAAGCCCAATTTGCCCTGAAAAAAACAAGGTATCATCCACCTGGATGTACAAAGTAGTTGTGATGATGTGTGGTTTTACAAACACTTGTCAAAGTTGCAAAATTTTACTTGGGCATTAAGATTCATCTTACCCTTAGCGGTGAAGGGGTTAAGCTTTTACAAATAAAACTGGAAGCTGATTGGCTGCCGCACCACCGTTGGTACTCTCCAATTTTAGTAAATCAGCCTTAGTATTCATGTGTGGAAATGCCATACTGTTATAATATTCTAGTTGGATATTTTAAGCAAGAAAAAAATTTGGCATCTGTAGTTTTTCTTTTGTTGAACTAATGTTTTTCCTGAATAATCACATTGGCAAATGAAACCTGTATTTTTTGTTGGCTATGGTTTGTTCTATGCAGCATCTCTACTCAATTATTTCTGTATGTTACCAGAGACACCATGGACAGCGTTAAACAGAGTGCTGCCCTCTGCCTCCTGCGTCTGTACCGTACCTCTCCAGACTTGGTGCTGACAAATGAGTGGACTTCACGAGTGGTTCATCTGCTTAATGACCAGCACCTGGTAAGGCAGTCAGAAGCCGGGCATATGTTTTGTTGACGTTCTTTCTTTCATTATATAAAAACTAAATAGGTCTCATTCAAAACATTTACGGGTGTTCTCAATCCGTATGTTGCTTGAAGGTTACGATACTTATAGACATTAGATAGAAAACCGTTTTTTAAAATTTGGTCAGGTTTAAGAAAGATCTTTCATTTTTAAAGTGCATTTTAAAACAAAAATGTAATATATTGCAACTCATTAGTCCTTTCCTTTTTTTTCAAGACTATTTTCTGGTAGTTAACACAATTCCTGTCTGTGTGGCTATGTTCACCCACTCCACTGTATTTTATGGAGATATGGTTGCCACTTGGCTGCTTTGCACTATTAACCCCTCCACGTCTCATCTGCTTTACATAGGGTGGTGTTCTTTTGTAGTTTACAGAAGGTTGCTGAGACAACTGATAACATTTTTTTATATCGGTTCAATGTACAGGAGGTAATAAGAACACAGGAATTCAGAAGACTTATTGTTGCAGTCCTGGATAGTGGCTAATTATCTGTCCAATACACTAACTCCAGCTATTTTTTCTTGGAGGTGCCCTGAGGTTTCAGTTATCTGTATCTCGTGCATGGCCAATTATAATTTATATTGGTTAGACCTCTTACATGCGTGGGTAAGGGCCTCTACTACACAGTTACAAGCTTTTCTAGTTGTCAGAAGTGCTTGGCAGTGTTGGGAATGCTTAATTCCATTAAAATGGTATGTGTAACTGGGCACCTTCTTATTGAAAAATAATACAGTTGTATCCACCTGTGTGCAAATTTCACCCATAAGCTATTTGGGAAAATGCTGGGTTGGGGATTGCTGGTTGCTGTTGCTTTTGACACCTTCCCATTTGTAGTTAAATTTAGTCACCATTTGTACCTAATACTCAACTGAATAAACTTCTCAGGAAAATATGAATGTCAGAATATTCGTGTAGTGTAGTAAATCTTCCTTTATTTCTCTTGCAGGGTGTAGTAACTGCTGCCACCAGTCTGATCACCACCCTGGCACAGAAGAATCCTGAAGAGTTTAAAACTTCAGTTTCGCTGGCTGTGTCCCGATTGAGCAGGGTAATCATGAACCTCTTAACGTTGTTTTAGAGTCATACTTTTGAATGCCAGACCTTTCTCTACTTAGTACCATGTGCTTTATTTTATTACAACTTTGCTTCATAAAATATATCTTTCTGATTTGCAAAATTCACCACTATGCCCAATCTCTTACAAACCTCCAATTCTCCAAATTGACTGACAGTGTTTGAAAGAATCTGCATGTCGGTCCTCCAAAGGTCTAATTTCCCAGATCATTTCTACCCCTGCCCCGGATCCACCGCGGCATGCATACGTGAAAAAGTGGGAGCAGCTTTTCAGGGAGGAATTACCTTTGACAGTGGTGGCTAATCATATGGTCTTAAGCCTCTAAAAGCTCCATTTGCACACTGTAATAGGAAAACTTGTATAAAATCTTCTGTCATTAGTACCAAACCCCAGAGCTGCTCAACTCCATATATCCATCTGCCAATAGGTAATGCTTGCGTTGCAAGAAGGATCTGGGAATGCACTACCACATCTGCTGGGCCTGCCTAATGCTAATGCCTTATTTGCAATTCACACCCTTATCCATTCCCTTTTCAGATCCTGGATCATTTTCGACCCTAAAATCTTCCTTTTGGAACTCCTTTCTCTGACGTTCTCCAAATCTTCCAAAAAACTACTAGCCCACGTGCTGACTGCAGCAAGGTGTTTAGTTGCCCTTAAGTGGAAGCAGAAGGAGCCTCCCACTTTGCTTGAGCTGCATACGAGGATCTGAGATGCAAAGAGAATGGGATATCTTAAAACTTTTCTGAATAGCTCATTGGACAAACACACCCAAGTTTGGGAATGATGGGATCTATTAGAGATTCTGCTCACTTGATCTTCCCTTAGCATGTCTTGTTGGCTACCTGTGGAGGAGCGTGCTGTGAGATCCGACCTCAGGGTGCACTAGGACATTGGCAGTTGGGTGTTTTTCCCTCTACCCTTTCCCTTCTCCCTCTTCTTCTTTTTTTTTTTTTGTAATTTTTTTTTATTTTTAACTTTCTCTTCTTAACTCTTCTGTTTTTCTTTTTTCACGTGTTGATACAGGGCCTGTGTTTTGTGCAGCCATTTACTTACGGATAGCTCATTGTAATTCCTGTATGATTACAAGTGAAACTTGTTTCTCTCAGAGGCCAGATAATCTGCCTCCTTGTGCTAATGGTTTCTTATATATTCTTTTGTGCAAATTTTATTTATTTATTTTGAGCCATGTGTACTTTTGCCACACAGTTGTCCTGTATCATCTTGTATAACACTTGATAAAAATTGTCATTTAAAAAAAAAAAAAAAAAAAAAAAAAAAAAAACATTTCTGGCTTTATAGCCAACAATCAGTTGTGTTTTTTTTTTTTTTTTTTTTTTTTTTTTTTTAATTTCAACCTACTCTTTGCCCAAACTTTGCTGGTCATAAGTCATGAGCAAGATGTTATGAACATCACTCTACTTAATATTAAAGAAATGCAGTTAGTTGGGTTCCAGAGCAGTGCGATATTATGCATCATCTGCATGGTTTGTACTGCAGAGCATTGTGAACAGGCCCTCACCCTGGCCATCGCAAAGTTGACTTTTTCCACTTTAGAAACATTTGGTTGCCACAGTAAACAGTAGTTTTACTTTCAACGCACCCAACATACATACAGTTTGTTTCATTCTACTTTTTCAGTGGTTTCAAATTTTTGTTGGCAATGGTGTCACACCAACCCCATTAATGTACAGTAGCTGGCAATTTGTTTCCCATGTACCTCAGCAAAACAACTGACTTTCTGTTCCTTTTCCGAACTGTATTAGGTAAAGAGCCTGTCCCTGTGTGCCAATGTGCCATCCCTTGGCTGCTTTTGTGCATTCCTTTTTTATTTGCCTTTTGTGATTGTAAACTATTTTATGTGCTTTTTCCATTTTCAGATTGTCACTTCGGCCTCCACAGACCTGCAGGATTACACATACTATTTTGTTCCAGCTCCCTGGCTCTCTGTGAAACTGCTAAGGCTGTTACAGTGTTATCCTCCCCCAGGTAACAATGTGTCAGAGCTCTGAGACCAGTGTGCAAGCAGTAACCTATTCACTCTTAGTGACACAGATTTGCAGCTTATCAAACTAGTGTAGATGTTTTAATTTACAGACAGAAAATGTTGATACTGTATGTCAGGCCTGTATTATTGTTCCTTCATCTTGCAAAATTAAGTGTAGCTTCAAAGAGTTCTTGTAAAACACACAGGCAGCCTTATTTTATGTATTTGGCAGTTTCATGAGCAATTTCAGGGTCTCTATTTATTCTGCTGTGCTGTAGGTTTCCCACGTTTAGAACACACACAAACTTCAAGACCAGTTATTGTACACATTTTATTACACGATCACGTGACCAAGTTTATCATACTGTAAAGAGTAACAACTTTTGTTGAGAAAAAAATTCCCTCTGGGATCCATCTCACCAACATTTTTGTTGCAGAGGATGCCCATAATCCGATTTGTATCTTAGTGCAGAGTTGTGAGAAAATCAATAAGCCAATCTCAGAAGCAGGAAATGATATATTTCTAAGGGGTGCTCTGTACACCATCTGTTTACAGAACACCTCCAGGTCACCATATTACATTTCATTTTACAAAAAATGACAGCGCTGCAGATAAGAAAAGGAAAGGTAGTTTTTATTAAGTTTCACTTACATTAGGACTTGTTTATCAATTGTATAAGCGATATTTTTTTATTTGCTATTTTTTCTCCCAGGAAAGCAGAGTTACCCTTTATGGATGATCAGTACTCTGTTAGGTGGGCAGCAAATTCCTGAGTGGAATCATGTGTAGTAAATGGTAGTGATGGAGCTGTTTTTGGAACACAGAAACACAACCCAAATTCAGGACTAGTTCACACAACATGCAGTCCAGTGTGTTTTTTTGTTTTTTTTTCTTCCTGCATCAAAAATGCATGGATAGTAGGTTGTATGGTTTTCAGTGGCATAGTTCACACCAGTGCGGTCAGTTCCAGTTCCAGAAAAATAAATGTAGAACATGCTGCATTTTTTCTGCACTGAACTCTACTGGAACATGGTAAAACACATCAAGAACACATCTAAATACACCAGAACGCACATGTCCTTATTTAAGATGAAGGGGAAAAAAAGGCACTGGAATCTGTGAAAAACGCACATGCCGTAACACGTTTCCATGGTGTAAACCGGCCTTCATGCCGGTATATGTTAATTAAAAAATTGTTAGGTATACTTTAAAAGCAGCTAGTGTAAGTACATGACGTCTCTTCTATTCACCTGTACAGTATAGCTCTAGGATCCAGTCAGTGTGCTGCATACAAATGTGCCAACAAGGAGCATGCTTTCCAGTTTGCTGTTTTTTCTCTTCTGTCTGTTGCAGACGGGGGGTAGAGACAAGTCCTAGCTGTATTACTTAACTAAGGTAGAGAAAAGTTAGGCCTCCAGGCTTAGTGCTGTATGAGGGAGCATTTAGAGTTTTTCCTGGAGGTTCGTTTTGAAGGCTAAGTTCACCTTTTAGGGCTCATGTACACTGCAGCTGATAAACTCACGTTTAGGAGCTGTTCAGTGGTTTTTTCAGCATTTCCTGAACTCACCCTGATGTTTTCCTATGTGTCCATGTACACATCTTCGTTTACAGTCGTTTTTTAACGCAGAAAACTTGCGTTCGATTTTTATCAGCGTTTCAAAGGCAAAACGCTTGTAAGCGCGGCAAATCTCGTTTATTAGCGTTTGAAATTTTTTTTTAACTGTTCCAGTTCCCAATGCTGTTCAGAGCCTTTTATCATCATGAAAAATGCATGCAAAGCATTTTTAAGGAACTCAGATGGCCAAAACACTGAACACAGGATGTTCCTACCAAGTTTGTCTCACATTGTAATGACCAATTCACACCTCAGATCTCTCCCACCCTTCGAAACAAAAGATATGTTAATGACCATTCACACCTCAAATTTCTCATGAAGCACCCCCTGCCAGGTGACTTTACTCACTCCGCCAGACACCTTTCCCATCCTTGGAAACAAAAGAAATGTTAATGAGCAACTCACACCTAAGCTAATCTCAACACATACTGCTGTCTCTGCTTCTATTCTCTGTATTTCTCTGAAACAGTCTGAAATAGTTAATAATTTACCACTTTCCAGTGCATTCTGGGCATTTGGGAGGTTCTCCTGTGCTTAGCTTTAAAACGTGTCTAAACATAAATGTGCATAAACTTGTTATGCAAACGCAGCTAAACAGACATTTTTTAACCTACGTTTTCCAGCAGTCAGTTTCCATCGTTCAGAATTGTCCCGTATACATGGGGCCTTGGCACGCATTACATGTTACACTCATATTTAGGGTATACATGTAACATGTTGCAGCTCCTGCCCCCTTCTCTCTGTGAATGAGTAAACTACAAGCCCCATCTGCCCCAGCTGCAGATAGCTTGTAGTTTTCAGTGGACTAGGAGCATGCTGATCAGTGTGCTTCTAGTCCATTCACTCTTTCTGCAGTTTTCTAACTGAAAGCCTGTACAGAGGTATGGGCATAAAGCTGGAGGGAGAGTGTGCAGGATCCTGACATTAAACCCATGATCCACTGATAACTGGTACAATTCTTTGCAGGCTCCTGTAGGATAACATAATAAATGCCAGTTGTTTTTTTTCTGCAAAAATATGTTCAATTACAATATTTTTCCTAAAAGGTGAACTTGGCCATTAAATAGGCCCATCCTAGATGTTACTACATATTTTTTTTTATCTGGGATAGATCAGAATAATCTATTAAAACACCTCTTCCTAGGGATCTAGAGAACCTAGAGCTGCTTTATTATCCCTCCAATGTAATCATACTGTATATCCAAAAGCTTAGGCATTTCTTCAACTGATCTCTGCTAGAAGGGAAGATCAAATACTTGGAATCCTTCATCCAAAATTGTTTGCATACAGTGGCATTCACCCACTCATTTCTGCAGTTACAGTATGTATTTTTGTGCACCAAAAATTATGCATGTGGTCAGTGTCAACTTGAAAATGCATTTCTGAAACTGACAGTACCATAGTATAATTGGATTATGCACACAATGGCTTAAGGGTACCACATTTTGCAAAGCAGATTTTCCTCATTCGTGTCAGATGAACTAAACTTGAATTATTTCTGTGTTTTCCCTTTCCAAAAAGGAGGAATAAGGAAGGTTATTTTGTAAAACTGAACTCCATGCAGATAGATAAAAACATCGTTGATGTTTTAAGTCTTAATTAAGCTAAATTTGAGGAATGTGACAAAAAAATTAAATTCACATTTAACCCTTGCAGTGGGGGTCCCTGCACTGCAAGGGTTAAATGTTAATTTATTTTTTGTCACATTCCTGAAGTTTAGCTTAATAAAGACTTAAACCTTCAACAATGGGAAGGTTAAATCCTTGCCTTTGATCTATGCAACTGGTCCCCCACAGCCTTGCTTTTGATTGAGGTTGCATGCTTGTCCCAACCAAATACAACACTGAGTAATAGCCCTGCATTGCACATGACAATCAAGCTCCACTCACAGACCAGATCTTCAAGGAGAGTAGGAGAATGCAGGGCTTCTTAAAATAAGTAATACTTTACCAAGTTTTCTCAGTGTGTATAGAAAGGTGCAGCAAGTCATGGAGCCTACCTCACTGTTGTTGGAGGGCATCCAGCATCCTCCTGTCCTTTTCTCCCCAGCCTTACTGTCCCTAACCCTCCCCTTTCATTTATTGGATTTCAGCTCTTTCAGTTATGGAGGTTCCCATTCACACTAGGAGGTTTTGAATCGTTGATAGAATCGCTGCAATTCTGCCTGCAATTTAAAACCGCTCTGCTAAAATGACAAATTACGGAACCGCTTGTTCAGGTGCCATTCATTTTAATGGCACCTGAAAACACGGTGCGGTTGTTGCGCGATTGCGACAGACTGCATCCAGCGATGTGGGTCATCCAAAAGAAGTTCAGGAGCTTCTTTTGGGTGACATGGTTTGCTGCGATTGCAGTGTGTTTTATCACCGCAGAGCCACACTGTGTTTTCAGGTGGAATTAAAATGAATGGCACCCGAACACGCGGTTCCACGATGTCATTTTAACTGAGCATTTTGAAATCATGGGCAGAATTGCAGTGATTCTGCCAGTGCTTCAAAACCACTGTGTAGTGTGTATTGCACCTTGCTGGCTCCTCCTACCACTCATGATCTGCCTGCATTGCAAAGGGAAGCATAAAGATCTACTGATTACACAGAGCATAAAATTATATATGTATATGTATTCCAGCTGGGTATTTATTGTCTTTTTATGGAGTTTTATGGAGTTTAGTTTTAATATTCCATTAATACTCTGTGTTGCATTCCCTTTAGTTTATAAAAGTGTAGTAGCAGCATTGACTGCATTTTTTTTTTTTTTTTTTCAAATGACGTTTAATTTTTCCTGATCATTATAAAGTATAGGACATATGCTTTTTTAAATCCTTACAGTTGGGGTATATGCATCTTCTTCAGATGATTGAAAGAGCTACTGAATGTCCCGCCGCCACCAACCCCATAAAATTCCTCCCACTCAGAGAAGGCTTTAATTTTATGCTGTGTCTTTAGGTGATTGGTTCCTTTCTACTGAGAACAGCTTACCTTCTGTTTATGGAGGTTGTAACGGGGTTCAGTTCCATTAGAGGTTTTTTTTTTTCCTTCTCTCCTTTCTATTGAGAACAGCTTACCTTCTGCTATGGAGGTTTTTTCCTTCTCTTGATCGTTCAGTGGTTGATTTGTGTATCAACACTTGGCTGCCCCATAGCCACTGTGACTTTTGTTCTACAGCTTACAGGTTTGTTGACGCCAGCTGGGATTGGCCTGGGTGCAGTCTTGGCTACCTTCTTGGTACAAGGTACGTGGCCATCATTGGATGTTTGCATTCCCATCAACGTTCTGGAAATCAGAGCAATTTATTTGTCCCTTTTATAGCTGGACTTTTATGAGGACAGCTGATGAGAATACAGTCACACACTGCTACGATCATCAGGAAGGCACCAGGAGCCACACGGTTCTTCTTGGGCACAACTTCACATTCCAACCCTGTCTGCCATTCAAATTCTGGGCGTGGAAAACTGTTAGCTCAATTAGCTTCTGGATCTGTGGGAATAGGGTCTTCATCTGGAGGTCTTTCAAGCTCTTAGCCACAGGTGGGGTACACCAATTGTGGAATTTCTGGCATTCAGATTCAGCAGCAAATTAGACAGTTTTTTTTGTAACCAGGTCCAGAGACCTTTGGACATTTTGTACTGGAAGCTCTGGTTACTCTGTGGCAGCAGGCCAGCCTGATTTATGTCTTTCCTCCTCTCCAAATACTCCCTTGTCTCCTTTTTAGGATCAAGAGAGGAGCATATTCTGGTAATTCTTATCACACAGAGTTCCCCCAAATAAAAGTTGCATGCAATGCATTTCAGGGGCTCGGCACTTTTCCTCCCTCAGGGCTCTTAAATAAACTAGGTGCAAGTTGGACCCAGAACAAGGCTCCTGAAAAAATTCTGTTTTGGAAGCAGAGCAGCTACTGCTGCTGACTTAAACACCTTCCTAATCCTAAAGATTAGCCTCCTGTTTTTGCTTGTTCATACTCAGACCTTTGGCAGACGTTTTTTGGCCACTTCTGGATTGATGAAACCTCAAAGCATGGCCTTTGAAGCCACTCTCCTGAAGGAAAGGGACTTCTCTGGTTCTGTCACTTCTACTCTTTGCTAAAAGCAGACTTCCTAGCCTTTAAAAAGTCTACTGTCCCACCTGGAAGTCCTATTTTGCTTGCTGTAAGAAAACTGTCATTCCAGAAAGTACACCTTGGGACATATTCTGTTCTTCCTTCAGTTTGGTCTGGACCAACTTCTGGCCTTTAATATCAAGGGAAAAAAAAAATTCTATTTTAGAGGCCTCTCACTTACCAGTTAAGATGTTTGTTCAGAGTGTAGCTCATGTCTTTGCTCCTATCCCGTTCCCGTGGAACCTCAGTCTTGTTCTTTCAGTTCCACAGATACCTTCTCTTTAAACTGTTAAGGATATTTCCTTGTCAGACCTTTTCATGCAAGATGGCCTTTCTGGTTGCTATCACAGCTGCAAGAACAGCGTCTAAATTAGTGGCCTTATCCTGTAAGTGGTCTTTCTTAGTGTTGCACATTATAACGTTGTTTTGGCTGCCTTCCTCCCCAAAGTGTTCTCTACAATCTACATTAACCAAGATATTTGTCCGTCCTTATGTCTTGTTACTAAGCATCTTAAAGAAATTTCTTTGCACTGTCTTGACATTGTGCACGCTGTGAGCGTTTATTGAACAGCTACGACTTCCTTTTGGAAATCAGATTTTCTTTGTGCATCAGGAAGGCTCATGCAAGGGTTTTTCTGCATCCCATTCCACCATTGCAAGGTGGATTCAAGAAATTCTTGTGACAACCTATAGTTTGAAGGATTTTGTGCCTCCTTTCTCTGTCGGGGCATGTGCTACTTCTAAATCTGTTAATGAATCATGGGCTTTTCAGTGCCAGGAAACGGTTTCCTAGACTGCAGTGCTGCCACCTGGACTTCTGTTTACATGTTTTTAAATTTTACTATGTAGATGTTGACCTCTCTTCTGAAATCAGTTTTCGGAATAGGGTGCTAAAGGCTACTGTGAGTTTTTAAGGCGCCTTGAACTGTTTGGTTATGTGGGCCTGTTGGCATAGTTTGCTATATTGCCTTCAGCTCCACTGCATTTGGTAGTCCCAGTGTTGTAACGATTTTAAGGGTTCTGTTCTCATGCTCTCCCTTCTGCTTGCTGCAAAACTGGGGCTAGCTGGGAGTGGAAGGAGTTACACGGGGGATGTCCCAGCAGTATGTGTCCAATAACTTTAAGGCAGCTGCATATAACCCAGTTTAAAGAATTTTACTGGTAAGTTAAAAAAGCCTATCTTTTCTTTTTGGAAAAGACATTGTGGCCAGTTTATAACAATACAGGAACTTTTTATGTCATGCATTTTTGAATTCCAACCTCCTAGTTGGGCATAAAGTGCAGTACCATTACCCCTTGCTCCACCCTAATCTGTTCTGATTACCAGAAAGTATCTTGATCTATCAAAGCTTAACTGTCCCCATACAGTCTCTCTATCTATCCATTCAGTCTTATCCGACCCTTGGCGATTGCATGGACTGTCACTCGTAAGCGACTTTTTCCATGAATTCTCTTAGCAATTATTTTACAGGGTAGGTTGCCACGTCTTTCCCCAACCCTGACCATGCAGGAAATCCCGCGTAGCCAGGGATGAAACTAGGACAATTTAGACAGAAGCCAATTACCCTACCAGCATGTCTTTGCAGTGTGGGAGGAAACCGGAGTACTCTGAGGAAACCCACACGAACACAGGGAGAACATGCAAACTCCATGCAGGAGGCGCCATGGTTGGGAATTGAACCCATGACCCAATTACTGCAAGGCAGAAGTGCTAACCACTAAGCCACTGTGCCGCCCCCCCATACAGTACTATTGTCCAATCACAATTGGGCCATCTCACTGCTCAAGAGGATTATGGAAAGCTTTGCCTGCTCTAAACAGCCCAGCAATTTAGACAGAGCAGGGGTATGAAACATTTTGCAGCGATACCCTTATACCAGTAAGCCACTTTATATGGGCAAAACGTATTAAACCAAATGTCAAATATTTAATTTTTGACCTTTTATGAGAAGATCCCAAAAAATGCTTGCATGCACATACCTTCACTGTGATGCTTAGCTTTATTTTACTGTTACAGAGGACCCTGCTGTGCGAGGACGACTTACAGAGTGCTTAGAAACTATTCTGAACAAAGCCCAAGAGCCTCCCAAATCCAAGAAAGTGCAGCACTCCAACGCCAAGAATGCTGTACTATTTGAGGCAATCAGCCTCATTATTTACCATGACAGGTGAGTCCAGGTGTATTTATAGATTCTTAATAAAAAAATTTTACTTCAGTGCCAAAAAATATTTTTTTCTTAACAATATTCTAGGCCTGAATACTAATTTCTGTAAACTACTTCATATTGTTAGATCTAAAGCCCAGATGTTAGAAGTGACAATTGGTAGATGTTCATCACTATAGTGCTTAAGGCTGTGGTATGGAAGCTAGGGAAAAAAATATTCTGTATTTCTCCTATGATTCTTCCAGTTTTTTCCATACCATGTATTAAAAAAACTGTGTGGTTGTGTCAATATAGTGCTGCTCTAGGCTATTCTCTTGTACTTCTGCCAGGTGGCTTTCCAATGCATCCCTGATGAACTGTGAACATCCGTGTGCTGACAATTTTTGTGTTTCAGATGGATTCACTATGTGTATGACCAAACCTAATAAATATATTTAACTTTGGATGAATACCTGCAGAGTCTTTGCAGGCTGGCATTTATGTTTTACTTCCCAAGGCACTAGTCTGCATTTGGAGACCATTGCAAAATGCTCTCTGTGATTTTTTTTTTTTAAGTATTCGTTAATCTGCTTGTAACTGACAGTGCTGTACAAAGCATTCCACTTGAACCAAATGCAGCTGAGTGCACCATGTTGTGCGCAATGCAGATTTGCCACACTGACAGTACCCACAGCACTTTCAATTGTATATTTGCAGTTACAGTAGAGAAGATTTACTCTGTTTCTGTAGTGACTCAAGAGGAAAGCATGAGTCCCACATGCAGACTGTCACTGGAAAAAACTCATGCTAATAGCCAGTGAAACTAGCTCTAAAGTAAGAATTTGACCGTAAAAGGTTTTTATTTTTTTTTTTTCTTTCTTTCTGTTTTATAGTGTATGTGTAGGCACACTACAAAATATGGCAATTGAAATAAATGTGTGAACAACTGTTCACAAAGTTGTATTTCTCTTTGGTCATTTTTTCCAATTCAAACAAAAGATCAAACTGTATACAAAACCTGAATTTTAACTTCTGTCCACTGCAGTCAAAGCAATATAGCTTAGTCAAGACTGTGATTAGAGAACATTAGAACAGCAGCTAACAGCTGATGTCCTCCCTGTGCTGTTTCCTTAAAGTATAACTAAAGGCAAAACATTTTTCAGTTTTGGACGGAGTGGAGATGGATTAGAACACTTCTTAGGTTCTTATTGCAGTCTGTGTCCACGTTAGGGAGATTCACCCTCTTTGTCCTATTTACCATTATCATTAAAAGTGAAAATATAAAAGAAACCTCAAATTTTGGGTTGTCTCCAGGAAAGTGATAGCGGGGACACTATTTCTGGTGACCTGGGGGTCCCAAAGGATTTCCCTTAGATTGCAGAGATTTTCACACTTCCTGTTTTCACTATGGGGCAGGAATTGAAGCTAAATCTCCCTAATGGGACACAGATGGCAAAAAATAAACTGGCAGGGTTTATAACCCTCCCTTACTCTATCTAAAATGAAAAAAAGTTTTGCCTATAGTTCTTCTTTAAATCAGTTTACACCATTTGTTAGATTTACAGCACAGCACATTGCAGTAAAACCTGATTGGCTTTCAGTCCTGTCCCTTATTGTTTAAAAATACCTTATAAATACAGTCAGGTCCATAAATATTGGGACATCGACACAATTCTAACATTTTGGGCTCTATACACCACCAGAATGGATTTGAAATGAAACAAACCAGATGTGCTTTAACTGCAGACTGTCAGCTTTAATTTGTTTTCTGTGGTCTTCCGGGTCTTTTGGTGTTGCTGAGCTCACCGGTGCGTTCCTTCTTTTTAAGAATGTTCCAAACAGTTGTTTTGGCCACGCCTAATGTTTTTGCTATCTCTCTGATGGGTTTGTTTTGTTTTTTCAGCCTAATGATGGCTTGCTTCACTGATAGTGACAGCTCTTTGGATCTCATCTTGAGAGTTGACAGCAACAGATTCCAAATGCAAATAGCACACTTGAAATGAACTCTGGACCTTTTATCTGCTCATTGTAATTGTGATAATGAGGGAATAACACACACCTGGCCATGGAACAGCTGAGAAGCCAATTGTCCCATTACTTTTGGTCCCTTAACAAGTGGGAGGCACATATGCAAACTGTTGTAATTCCTACACCGTTCACCTGATTTGGATGTAAATACCCTCAAATTAAAGCTGACATTCTGCAGTTAAAGCACATCTTGTTTGTTTCATTTCAAATCCATTGTGGTGGTGTATAGAGCCCAAAATGTTAGAATTGTGTCGATGTCCCAATATTTATGGACCTGACTATATTTTAATGAGTACATGATTGTGTTAAATGGGAGTATTTTTATATCATTCTACACTTGTGCATTAAATGTATTTACCATGAAAACATTTCAATCTTTTAATTGAATCATATGAGAGTGTTTTGTTTCCTTTCTGTTTTCATTTTAATTACGTTACCTCTGATTTTGCATGCCGGATCTCCGCCAAGGTGACCTATTCTTTTTCTGACAGTCAATATTTGACTTATGTGACATCTCTAGACTGGTAAAAATAAGTGTTTTACATTGTAGGCAGTATTATCTTGAGTTTTCTCATTCATTTTTAATGAATGGGCTGCAAAATCGCACTGCACGGGAACACAACCTGTGTTTCTGTGTGAACCAACCGTAAAATTAAGAGATTTTGCAGATGAAATTATTGGACTCTGACGTTGGATAAATTTGGATTTATGCACCTGTAAAAAATTTTTTTCTGGTTTGGAGTACAGTACCAGACACAGGCTTTCAATTGTAACAAATTGGGTATATGCCACACCTTCAGGTGATTGGACACTTACAAAAGTCCAAGCTTGAACATTCCCTCCCATCTCGCAATCTTCAGCTTTATAGCATGCAATGTTGAGGCCAGAGACAGACTAGAGTGTCCTCTGTCCTGTACTGTACTTCAATAAAAGGATTTTACACGTATGTAAAAATTAACTTCTATTTATTGTACAGTAAAGGACACAGGCTTTCAGTCATAATGGATGGAAGGTTCCAAAGCAGGGAAGAGAGGAGTATAGCAAGGTAATTAAAAACCCAAAAACTGACCCCCAATACAAAGAATAAAACTGACCTCAAGCAATGGCCTGCAATACTTTGCAGCCCCAATTGCCATCAGAAGAAGCCTGAACATCAACCTGGTAGAATTTGTCAAACGTGTGAACAAAAGATTAGGCAGCAGCCTTGCAAAGCTGTACAATAGAAGCCTGATGCTGAAATGCCCAATATATGCCAAAAGATCTAGAAGAATGAGCCTTAATCCGGAAGGGATGCCCTTACCATTCAGAGAATAGGCACAAGAAATGACCTGGTGAAATTTTCCTGCCAGTAGCGGATTACAATGCAAAAAACCCTTGGGCCCTTTTGGGAAAGACAAAAAGTGCATCCTATTTTTGGATGGGGGCTGTAGCTGTGATGTAAACCTACACAGCCTGCATGACATCCAGACAATGGAGGGACACCTCCTTAAAATGCTTAGGAGAATATCAATGGGAAGGCAAAACAATATCCTCATTTAGGTGGAAACCAAATACCACTTTAGGCAAAAATGAAGTGTTCATTTGCAAAATCACCTTATCCCTATGCAACAGCAAAAAGGGCTCCCTACAGGAGAGAGCAGCCAGCTTAGGAACCTGTCTGGCAGAGGCAGTTGCTGCTAGGAAAGCAACCTTATGGGTAGGATCCACTAAAAGAACCCCTCAGCTCTTCCAAAGCCACCTTTGTGAACTGATCTGCAAGTACCAAGTGAAGGTCATACAGCATCCTAAGTACCTGACAAGGTCCAGCAATGTGAGCAACCCCTGATCAGGGTCCTTCGTCAAGGAATAAAAGGCTAGGGGGTCTCTGGAACAAAGGCCAGGGCCAAGACCTGACCTTTCAGAGTGCTCCAAGCCAATTTCTGACCCAGCCTCAACTGTAAAAAGGTGATTGACAACCCATAAAATAGTGGCGAGGATGAAAGTTCCACTGCTCATGTCATAGGTAATTTGCCATCCAAGTACTATGATACATCTTGTGCGAAGTTGTCTTTCTTACCTATGCTGCTTGAGAATCCGTTTCCAAAATAACACTCTCCCTTAGGATCTTAATTTCAACAGCCAAGCCATTAAAGCTAGCGTCTATGAACCAGGGTGGTAATAAGACTTTGCGACAGAAGGTCTGGTTGGTCTGGAGAAAGCCAAGGAAGATCTGCTAGCATGCAAAGAATGTTTGAGAACCAAGTCCATCTGAGCCAGTTTGGAGTCCCTAAAATCACCATTACCCTTTGTCTACTTCACAGGATCAAGATAGAACTGTAGTAGCAACTGAAGAGGGGAGAATATATAGATCATTTGGAATTGAGCCTACAAAATCACCAGGCCACAAATCTGTCCAGTTTCCTGTTGAATCTGGATGCCAGAAAGTTCACTATTAGAGTCCCCTATCAACAACAGATTTCCAGGAACACCTCCAAGTTCAGCAACCATTCCCCCAAGGTCAACTCCTATTGACTTAGTCCCCCTGCCAGTTTTCTGCTCCCAAAGTATGTACGGTGGATATGGCCAGAACATTTATGCTTCCCTGTTCAGGGTGAGAGCTGTTTCCCTCTGAGATGGGTGTCTTCTTGTGCTGCCTTGGTAATCTGGTGCAGGCAAAAGGACTGCGTTTGCAATCTGCATTTGGGGTGTCGTTGGGAATACATTGACACCCGCAGCAGATTGCACACTCCGTGCCTTTTAAAGGCAGTGTGGGAAATGTGCATGGAACATTGGTTTCCCGCACCGCGTTCTGGTGTCAATGAACCCTCAGACCTGTAGAGCTCACAGCAGCGATGGACACCTCTTGCTGCAGTGACCTGTCTTGATAGACTTCACTGTTCCCTGCTAACTATATTTTCTCAGACCGAAAGATGCATCCATCACTTAAGGACAGTAGCAAAATACTGAGGCTTGTATGGGAGTGGTTATATGAGGGAGTGTTAAAGCGTTGAGCTGCCTTGCCAGTGTTCATTCACCTGAAAGCCTAGCATATAACCCTTCCATTATGATTGAAAGCTTGTGTTGTACGATAACAAAATACTAATCTTTTGAAGCCTGGGATCCTTCCATAGTTTGATTGCTTTGTGTTTTTGAAGGGTTTAGGTGTATAGAACAATCCTAGTTTATTCCAGTTGCAAAGCAGAGAGCAGCAAAATAAAAAGCAGCTAATAAATTAAAGCATTGCCATACTTATTAAATAGGAGCCTGCAAAGAACCGCTATAATGTACCGCAATCCATAGTAATCAATGAGAACTCTCATTCTACTCATTTAGTAAAATGAAATTTAATTAGTTGCCCTGGACTTTGTGTATCATCAGTTTTGAAAAAAAAAAAAATAGAGAAGTACATTGACTACCCTTGCCATCCTTCTAAAAATAGTAGTTGCCTGACTATCCTGCCAAAACATTTACTTCAGTACTTTGCTGACCTGATATATTCATGTATATGTGGCTTAATTTTCTATATAATTGTCTACCTTCAGTAACTCAGAAAATGTTATAAAAAAGAAAAAGTAGATGTGAGCTACCTGAGTATTTCTTGCTCCTTTTTTAGCAGCCACTGGCTGTGCTAGTCAGAAGACAATCACTTTTAAGAGCTGGAAGCAGTGTTCTTGGGATGAGCAGCAGGATAGCAACAAAAACCCATGCATTCCTCTAATGAAAGTTTCCTGCAAGTCCAATATGAATTGCCTTCTGGATTTAGTGGTTTAAAAATGTTTAGGCTTGGGTAATAAGATTGGATCCAGTATGTGGGGGCTTAGAAGTAAATCTGAGATCTATATATTACCTCCAATCCCAGCAAGTCCACCTTTTTTAGGCTATAGACCACCTTTTTCTTCTGTTTCCTGTAGTGGCTATTGCATTCTTGTATTTATTCACATATATAGTGATGGGTAGTAATCTGACAGAAGGGCAAGCTTGTTAACAGAAGCTTTAGGGAAAAATGAGAGTGATGCAACCCAACCTGATCTAGAGCTAAATGCATGTAGCACTTCTGCAAAATTTGCTGATTAACAAATCTCCCATACTCTACCCTCCATTTACTTGTTCAGCCTGGAGCCCTTCTTCCCTAAAGCTGGAAAGTGAGAAGTTACCGAAGCCCCCCTTAGAGACTTGTACTTTCAGGGCTACCACCAGCCTTCCCTCTTTGATCTCTCCTGTGAATATTTTGTGGTGTTTAAGCATACAGATCCTATGAGCTGGGACAGACTTTCTCTGTGGTAAACACAAGGGTATATTCTCATTAATTTGAGATGTATAAGTGGGTATGGGCTTTTGGGTTTATGACAGAGAACAAAGTTTTTTGGCACACACTGCAAAGCGCAGGAGTTTTCAGATGGGAGGATTTAGAGAGAAACTCTTATGAGTGCAAGCCTTCGTCCATAGCAAGCAGCCTCTGTTATAGCTTTAAACGCCACCTGCATTCAGGTCTTTCCAATTCTGCAGCTCCGAAGGGAGATATCAGCACTACAGCCTACCAGGCCATTACACATAGCCCATGTGTCTCTTCTATCCTGCTCTCCAGTGAGCCCAATCTGCTGGTCCGGGCATGCAACCAGCTGGGCCAGTTCCTGCAGCATCGGGAGACCAACCTGCGCTACCTGGCATTGGAGAGCATGTGTACCCTGGCCAGCTCCGAGTTCTCACACGAGGCTGTGAAGACACATATTGAGACTGTAATCAATGCACTAAAGGTGAGCTGCCAATATGAACCCACTTGTCAATAGAATGTTTGTTAGTAGAAGTGTTTTATTAAATCAAATTTGCTAGATGTTTTTTGCAACAGTTAAGAATCTTACTCCATACTGGGGGCTGTTATTGCTGAACTCTGAGAAGCAGAGCTGGCTCCAGGGCATAGAACTATTGTCTTCAACAGAGAAGTCTTTCCTAGAGCCAGCACAGTTTCCAGGAGAAAGATAGTAGCAGCCTCCAGTACTGGATGGTAGCCTTGACTGTTCCAGTTAACCACTGTTCTGATTGCTCCCCTTTTATTTCATAATTATTAATATTGTAAGTATTTTTGTTCTTAAAACTGTTACTAAATACAAAAAGATCTACTATCATGCTGTTATGTAAGCATACAGCCAGATGATACTCCTCAATCTTAGGAAATGGAAAAAAGAAAAAAGCAACCAGTAACTGTACATCATAATAGAGGAGATCAATAATATGATTTTCATTGTAATTGTATGATCTGTAACTTTTTATAAATTAACTAGTAAAGTGTTTTTGAATATAGCTGTATGCTACTTGTGTGCCTCACTCCATAGAGAGCCATTTGTTTCATATTTGTAGCAATAAATCGCTACCAATAACAATTGTATTTTTAGTAGAGTGAACACCTCTGTATTCCTAGCCAACGTTTACATATAGCAAATAATGTGTTGCATGTAGTGTATTTGACACCCAAATTGGACCTTTCTTTTTCTTTTTTCTCTCGCTTGCATTTTTCGTTATATTCTGAAACAAATAATAATGGCCAAAAAAGCACATGTAGTAAAAAATTGTAAATATCCTCTTATATTGATGGTTGGTTAGGTGAAGGGCCCCTTGCATTGGTGATTAGTGGGAGAAGCGTCTGTTATTAATGATCAAGGCAAATCATTTCTGGTTTTAATTGTGGTCAGTGTAGTATCCTCTTAAAGCTCAGTGGTCTCCAAACTGCAGCCCTTTGCTTGACTTTATCTGGCCCTTGGACACCAGCAATGGGGCACATTCCTTCCACTCACACCAATGATGGGGCACTATTCCTTTCCCTGATATCAATGGTTGGCACCATTCCTCTTCCTAATACAAGGGACTATTCCTTAGACTGACATCAACAATGAACCACCATTCCACCCACTGACACCAATGATCGGGCACTAATCCTTCCCCTGATACCAAAAATTGGAATTATTCCACCCACGAATACCAATGATGAAGAATTGTGTACTCCCATTGCTGCCAAAGCATTTTCTATTCACACTAGCCACATTTCACTCACTCCCCCCAGAACATCTGAGGGACAGTAAACCAGCCCTTTGCTTAGAAAGTTTAGAGACCCCTGGTATAACAAAAGCAAAACTTGTTTTCTTTTTTAGTTTCATGTAGTGGAGAGTGATTAGAACACCTGTCAGGTTTTTATTGGTGCTGTGCCCCCATTAGAAAAATTCCTCCCTTCTATATGTTCTTTTTTGCATTATCACCAAAAGTTAAAGGAAAATCACAATTTTGGGTTGTCACCAGAAGAGGAAGACAGGGAAAATCTTATAATGTCATCAATAATATCACTATTATACTTGGACTTTCCCTCTAGAATTTAGTATATATGTGTAGTTTCAATGTATGTAATTTTCTTGTATTACACACTCTTTTTATGTGATCACAGAACAAATACTTCAGAGATTGTATTTTTCTTTCTTTCCTTTACAGACAGAAAGGGATGTAAGTGTTCGGCAACGTGCAGTGGATCTACTGTATGCAATGTGTGATCGCAGCAATGCTCAACAGATTGTAGCAGAGATGTTAAATTACCTGGAGACTGCAGATTACTCCATTCGGGAAGAAATAGTAAGAATTGCATTAGAATGCATATAGTCTGGGGTGATTTATCACATTCACGTACTTCTCCTGATTCGGTTTTGCCTATTTTTCAGGTTCTCAAGGTAGCAATCCTTGCTGAAAAGTATGCAGTCGATTACACGTGGTATGTGGACACCATTCTTAACCTCATTCGTATAGCTGGGGACTATGTCAGTGAAGAGGTCTGGTACAGGGTAATCCAAATTGTCATAAACAGAGATGATGTTCAGGGATATGCAGCCAAAACTGTGTTTGAGGTGAGACATGAGCGATTTGCCTTCATTTAGCAAGCTATGATTGGCTAAAATGTCACAAGTATAAATGCATCAAGCTTTATTGAACTCTGTCAGATAGGGGAGATGTGGACAACAGAAATACGTACTGGACAGTATTCTGTGTTTCTTGTAAAAAGTCATAGACTAGTATATAACAAGTGGTTGTAAAGGCTGTAGGTTTTTTACCTTTATGTATTCTGTGCATGAAGGTAAAAAATCTTCTGTTTGCAGCAGCCCCCCCAAGCCTCCCCCAATCCTTACATGAGTCCCCTCTGATCAAGCAACGTTCATGACTGCTGTCTGAATACTCTTCCTCCTCAATGGCTGAGACATGTCTCATTGGCTCTCTCTGCTGTCAATCTCAGCCAGTGAGCCAATGAGAAGATAGGGGGCAGGGACGAGCCGTGGCCCTATGTTTCTCATGGACACATAGAGCAGCGGCTCAGGGACGGGCATGCAGCGGTGGCCCCAGGGCGAGCGGCTTCTCACTGCTCGAGGGGGAGGAGCCAGGAGCTACAGCAGGGACTCGAAAAGAAGGATCGGGCTGCTCTGTGCAAAAACACTGCGCAGAGCAGGTAAGTATAGACATGTTTGTTATTTTAAGAAACAAAAAACAAACCTTTAGTGTCAGTTTAAGTCAATTACACTAATTAGTACAAAGTCACCTCAAAATTCAAATATAAATTCGTACAAGAGGTCAAAAGTAGCTTGTTTTTTAATACCACTGTAAATAGTACAGTGAATAGAAAATTATAATTCACTTGCTGCAAATTAGCATCCATAATTCACTTGCGGAGCACAATGATTAGGGGGGTTGAGCAGCTTAAATACATTTGCATCTTTGTAGAGTGCATAACCATTTTAATTCTGAAAACATTTTTGTGAACCTGAATAAAATGTTGTGCTTTATTGAATTAAGATTTCTAATCTTTGTGGCATTAAAGTGGTTGATCAGGCAATTTTTTAAAAATTAAAATAATACACATTATACTTCTCTGCGCTTTGCAGTGGTATTGCACAGAGCAGCCCTATTCCTCCTCTTCTGCATGTGCCGTGGACTGTACACTATGGGAGCACACGTGCGAGCACACTCTTGAGGCGGGCTGTGTCCATAGACACAGTGCTACTCAGGATATTACCACACCCCCCGCCTCATCACAGGATTGGACTGACAGCAGGAGAATGACTCCTGTTCTCTGAGCCGCCTGTGAGAACAGTGAGTGAAGAGAAGAGATGCAACTGGGCAGAGCGCTGGATTGAGTAAGAAATAAGGTCATACAGCTGGTCATACATCGAAATTTGGCCAGTTCAGCAGGGCCCGGTTGAATTTTGATCCATGTACGGGCAGGCTGGTTGTATAGCAGTCGATCTACTGATCAATTTCTGTACAACCAAGTGGTTGGATTTTCCCTGGTGAATCAGCGCAGTGTATTCAGACAGTGAGGAAGTCTCCTTGCTGTCAGAATGCAATAGCACAGCGAGCAAGATCTTCTCCCCGCACCCGCTGTCACGATTTGAAAATGACGCAGCTGTATGGGGCTCCGCCCACACAGCCATGTCATTCATTCACAAAGTTCTGTGAATGAAAGAATTAAAAGTACCAACAGCATTTGATGCTGATGCCTTGTAGTTCTCAATTAACTACCAGGACGCTGTTGAGCGCTCTGCTAGTTCATAGATTTCCTCCTGTCGTCGTGTAACTGCCTGCCCATAGGAAGTATTGGGCAGACAGCTTACACTGACAGTCTGCAGGAGCCCTGCGATGGCACGTGCGATCTGCTGATAGCAGGTGCAATGCTTTCCAGGCTCCTACATAAAAAAAAAAGTAAATGCACATTTTTTACCTGCAAAAAAATTGTGAATTTATTTTTTAAAAAGGGTAACTTATCCTTTTAAGATCTTTGTTCAGGGTGTTTCCCTCTGCTTGTACCAGAAACTAAAATGTAACCTCCTGTGGTCAGATATTGGTGAAATGATCTTCACTGTATATGGGTGACACTTTTAAAGCCCCCTCTAGGTCATCAGTTTAGTGTTACGTAGTAGGTCTGGTGCTAGAATTATTGCTCTCATTCTGGTGTGCGTGACAATATGTAATGAGTGTCACAATTGCTGTTTTCACGTGTAGGCACTCTCTACGTGTTTTTGTTAATTTGTATATATGTGGGGGGTCCTCAAAATTTTGGGGGTGTTTTTTTTATGTGCTTGGGTGTAACGTTTTTTTACAATTAAAATAATTTTTTTTACCTAACTTATTTCTTTTTTATTTAATCATGGGGGACAAAAAGTGATGTGATTTTGTTTTTTTTTTTTTTCTTTGGTGACCGGTTCTCTCTAATGAGACATGCAGAGTCTAATAGACCCTGCATGTCTCCTCTGTGCTTCGTTGAATGTAATGCAGTGCATAGCGCACCACATTATATTCTTTCCCAGCCTCGATGGCTGCAAAATCTCTTAAAAGGGGGCCTGGAAGTAACGTCATACAACATCACTTCCTGATCACTGCAAGAAGGGGAGGGGAGCAGATGTGTGTCTGCTCCCCTAGCACCTGCTGAGCTGGTCCCGGGAGCGCAGATGGGCGAGCAGAGCCCAGGAAACATACCAGGAAGGAGGGGGGGGAGGAGTCTGGGGGCTTCCAACTTAGTGGGGTGTGTAAAAGCATATGGGTGGCACCATAGCTACCCGTATGCTTCCACCTAACAAGTAATAAAGTAGTATAAACAGAGGGTGCACCAGCCCAGTGCATTATCTTATCTTTAAAGCTCTGATGAAGAGGACACCCTCCTCGTAAGGTATCAGGTTTTCGGACATGTGACATCTTTTGAGCATACAAGAAGTATGGGTAGTGGTTCTGGCGGTTCATTTGATGTTTTATGATGTGCATGTCCTTTCCATTGGTTTGTGAGTATGATAACCTATTTTCCTCTTAATAAACTGTGCTTAAAGATAATGCACTAGGCTGGTATACCCGCTCTCTATTTTTCATATATATAGTGTGTTTGGACTATCCTCTGCTCATATGAAAATGATTCAGAGGAATCGGAGTCTGGTTCTCTTGTAGGCAGTACACTCTATCATAGTACTTTGCAAATAAATGTAAAATTACATACCCATTCCAAACATATAAACAACACTTTGTTTTAATCAAAATATTTGAAACCGTTTTCTGTCCTGGTTAACTGGAGTGAGTGCTGGTGATTTTGTGTAATGAGCACTAAGTTGCAGCAATCGGTCAAAAATCTTTGTACATTGTTCAGGCCAGCCTTTTTTAAACCAGGTTGCCCAGGCACCCTGGGGTGCCTTCAGGGGTGTAGTAAAGAATAAAAGAGCGCACCACCCTTTGTGCCTTCAGGGTGCATTGGCAAAATGCCTAAAAATTGCCCAAATATTGTATACAATTGCATCAAACCTGCCTTTTTAGTTACACAAAACCACAGTAATTTATAGTGCACCTTTACAACCTTCTAGCTGCTGGCATACTATCAATGATGTCATCAGTTGATGAGGAGAATAGGCACCTGCACAGCATCCTTGTTTGCCCTTCCCCTTGCGCTTCTCCATCAGCACTGGGGTCACATTAGCTGAGTGAGGGTGAGAATCTATGGGAGAAGAGAAACATTGGAATACTAGTCAGTACCAGTGTGCAAACGTGTATTTGTCGTGTAAGAATAAATCAACTATAACGTCGGGTGTTCTATGTGTTCAGATGTTGCTGCATAATGTAAAACTATTAGTTTAGTTTTTTTAGTTTTTCTTTAAAATTTTAGAATGGGGTGCCTCGAGATTGTGCAGAATTTTAAAGGGTGCTTTGATTGAATAAAGGTTTAGAAACACGGGCTCAGACTACTCTTACAAGAGGAATGGGCATCTCTGGTGGCTTAGGGCTTTTAATGATTACCGTTTCCACTCTTAACAAAATAGGCCAGAAAGGCTTGCCGTACCATGTTGTCATGGATTCTGTACAAGAATACAGATTGCAAGTTGGCATTAAGAGGTTTTTCTTTTAATCTTGAAGCAGAAGTTCAGTTTATGGATTGTCCCCGAGTCATCTGGAGCAGCTTCAAGACAGCTGGATGACTTAGAACTAATTAGTAGTAGCCCTGGTTTAGGGGCCTCACTTATTTAACCACCTCCCGCGCAAGGTGGTTCTCTCATTCTGGGGGAGGACGTCATATGACGTCACTGCGTGGCTCGGAGCTCGCAGCGCGGCGGTCGGCGGTGCGCTGTGTCCTCGGACTCAGCGGATCACCGATCACGGAAAGAGCCAAAGATGTCGGCTCGGTCATTTGATCAGCTGTGTCCAATCACAGCTGATCACGTGTAAACAGGGAAATGCCGGTTATCGGCATATCTCTCCTCTCGAGCTGTCACGCTGACAGCTCGAGAGGAGAGCCAATAATCTGCTTTCCACGAAGGGGACATGTACACTGATCATCAGGGCACTGATGATCAGTGTGCCCTGATGATCAGTGTAGCCCCAGCAGTGCCTTATGTCAATGCCTCGTGCCAGTGCCACATATCAGTGCCTAGCAGTGCACATCAATGCCACATATTGGTGCCCATCTGAGCTGCCTTTCAGTGTCACCTATCAATGCCAATCAGTGCCGCCTATCAGTACCAGTCAGTGCTGCCTATCAGTGCTATATATCAGTACTGCCTTTCAGTGCCCATCAGTGCCACCTACCAGTGCCTCCTCATCAGTGTCCATCAGTGCAGCCTATCAGTGCCCATCAGTGCAGCTTCATTAGCGCACATCAGTGAAGGAGAAAAATCACTTATATACAAAATTTTCTAACAAAGACTAAGAAAAAACTTTTTTTTTTCAAAATTTTCTGTCGTTTTTGGTTTGTTTAAGAAAAAATAAAAAACCCAGAGGTGATTAAATACCACCAAAATAAAGCTCTGTCACAAAAAAATGATAAAAATTTCATATGGGTACAGTGTTGCATGACTGCGCAATTGTCATTCAGAGTATGAGAGCACTGAAAGCTGGAAATTGGCCTGGGCAGGAAGGGGGTATAAGTGCCCTGTAGGCTATTGGTTAAAGTAGGAAGCAACATGTAGAAAAATGAACTGTGATATACAGTAGTTCTACATAAATGGAAAGCTACTAAATACTATTTATTTATTTTTGACTATGCTGAGCATTGATGGTTATTAATACTTGAAGACCCAACTCCAGCCAAAACATTTTTTTAAATTAGAGAATGGGGAAGGAAGAGTTGGAATTCTGCTGGGGTTTCTTGCTGTCTGTGACTCCACTGGGAGGATCTTGTGTCATGAAGCAAGAATGAGGGGATGGGGGAAATTGAGACATAAAGACACAGGCAGCATGGAACACCACACAGACTCTTGCCACTTTCCAATGTAAAATTTTTTTCCCTCAACCTATACAACACATTTCTTTTTGCTCCGCTACCAATACATTTACATTTTTTTTTTTCTGATGGAGGGAGATCAGCAATAAAAACAAGTTCAACACTACAACCAATAAAAAAAATAAAGTGTAGTTGCCTCTAAGTGAGGTCCCATACTAACTTACATAATAATTTGTTTCTTATTTTGGGACTGTTGATTTACTTTTTCATATATTTTTCAGGCTCTCCAGGCTCCTGCCTGTCATGAAAATCTGGTCAAAGTTGGAGGGTATATTTTGGGCGAGTTTGGTAATCTTATTGCTGGTGATCCACGTTCTAGGCAAGTTTGAAAGCATGTGCAGTGATTACTATATGTATTTTAGTACATTGCCTGTATTTGGATGTCCCTTTATAGAGCTCTCCTTTCTGTTATTGTCTGAAGCTGATGAAACCTATGTAAATTATTACAATATGATGATTAATGTATGCATTTGAATGAAATGAATATCTGTTACTGTGCAGAACTTTTTGTAATTTAGTGGATCGTGTAGTTACAGTATATGGTGTACATAAATCCTCTAAAATGGCTTTCTCCTGAAAGTATTATATACCAATTCCTAAATCCTAGATCTATGTGTTAATAATATTACAGTAATACCTTGCTGTAAAGCTATGATACAATTGCATTAAAAGTAAGTCATGCTTGGTCCACACTTGCAAGTTAGTGTAGTGCAGCAGCCACATTTGTTTCTTTCAGGGAAGATACATTTTCCTAGCAGAGGGGAAGTCAAGTAGATGTCTATACGGATTTCTTGGGAAGTTTGGATATTCGATTTAAATGCAGGCTTAACATTATTTCTAATAAAATTGTTGTTCAGCTGACAGGAACATTTGACTTAGAGTAGCAAAAAACACACTTGATAATGTAAATACATTAGATTATTTACATTCTAATTGTGAATTACTATTTTCCATTTGGTGTACATTGCATTTATACTTTTTTTTTTTCTTTCTGTGTGTTTTCTCTACAGCCCTTTGATCCAGTTTAACTTGTTACACTCAAAGTTCCATCTTTGCAGTGTCCCTACCAGGGCCCTGCTCCTTTCGGCCTACATAAAGTTTATTAATCTCTTCCCTGAGATTAAACCCACCATCCAAGATGTGCTACGAAGTGACAGCCAGCTCAGAAATGCTGATGTGGAGCTTCAGCAGAGAGCTGTGGAGTATCTGCGCCTGAGCTCAATTGCCAGTAATGACATCTTGGTACGCCCATGGGGAGAATTCTTGAGTAATAAAGACTGACATGTTAGCAGCTTGATTCATTTCAGCAGCTTCGTTCATTTTATGTTTAGGCAGTAATGTTTTTATGTGATGTTTATAGCAGTTCTCGTACATAATATAAATTCACCCAGGGTAGACATTTAGGGTTTGATTTACTAAACGTGGAGACTGCACAACCTGGTGTAGCTCTACAAAGAAGCCAAAACGTTTCCAGGTTTTTTTGTCAAAGCTTAAATGAACAAGCAGAATTTAGAAGCTGATTGGCTGCCATGCAGAGCTGCAACAGATTTTGCACTCAAGTTCTAGTAAATCAACCCCTTAGTGTAGTAAAATATACACTAGATCCTTTCTGCATTGACGTGAACCCTACACACAGGGTTACTGATTAAAAAAAAGCTCAGCCTGTACAGAAGCAAATCTGGAAGTGTGTATATATCTACTGTGACCAGGGAGCAGTAAAGCGGGACATTTCAAGACACGTGCCATCGGAAAGGTATGTGTGCTACTTACACCTCTGGGCTTTTTTTTTTTTTTTTTTTTTTTTTTTTTAATCAAATCAAATTGGTTACCTTGTGATGACAGGGTCACTTCAAAAACTGTGGGAGACCTTTTACAGTCCCTTTATATCCCCAGTGCTATAATGTTTTAAGATTTGGTGGCCAGTAGCAATCAGACAAAGAAATTTCAGTCCAAAAGTTTGTATTTATGCCTCATTAACACTCAGTCAATGGATGTTTACTGGGTTTGATGACCACATAGTGCACTACCTAATTTAACCACTTGCTGACTTGTCCACAGTAATTTTACTGCAGACGGGCATGTACAGGCACAGTCGCATACCTGTACGTCAGGAGCACAACCGAGCAATTGCCAGTTAAAGTAGCTCATTGCTGAATAACAAAAAATGCCCTGGTCTTGAAGGGGACAAAACCTTCCAAAGGTCAAGTGGTAAACCATAAATAAATGCAAAATTGGACAAACATTTTTTTTTTTTTTTTGGAAGACAAATATGATGCATTTTAAAGCATTCCTGTGTTTTTATAATGGTAAAAAAAAAGTTTAAATTCTTTCTACTTTTAAGGCTACAGTTTTGGAGGAGATGCCTCCTTTCCCTGAACGAGAGTCCTCCATCTTGGCCAAGCTGAAGAAGAAGAAGGGCCCCAGCACCGTCACTGACCTGGAAGACACGAAGAAGGAGAAAAACAGCTCTGATGTGAATGGGGGCACTGAGCCCGTCCCTGTTAGCACAGCGGTATGTCACTATTTAGGGAGGGGATGCACATGTTGACTTCCTGCTGCACTATAGAATTCCAACTAGTGTGAATGTTGTGGATGAAATAGGTGATTTGGTGTTTTTGCCTTCTAATTTATTTTTTTTTTTTTTTTTTTTTTTGGGTTGGGGCAGGTGCAGACAGCCATTTAACATTTCATCTAAGTCCTGCCTGCATTAGACTGCACTTGTCATTTTTACCAAATGCAAAGTATCTCCTTAAGACATAACAGTAATCCTGTTAAAATGGTTTGCACAACATTCAGTTAAAGTTCCAAGCACACAAGCATCCAGCAATACTGATTCTCGAATGATGAGTGTTCCAGTGCAACATATGCATAGTCTTGGGAGGGAGGCCCTCATACTGTGTGAGCGCACTCTAATTTAGAGTGAGGCTCAGTGGGCCTTTTTGAATGACTGTCTAGATGTATATTAGCACTATGGTACAAGCTAGGAGTCAATTTGGTGTGTGATTTGTACATACCTGACATTTATGTGTTTTGTTTATGCTCTTTGACTAAGTGGCAGGGTCCCATCCTTGAAGAACAAAGCATATTTGTGGTGCACCCTCATCCGTCCTCTCTCCTGGCACCGCTCCCATCTAGCAGCCATCACTCACAGTCTGGAATGAACTACTCTTTAGCAGCACTTTCAAACTTCCAGGTTCTTTAAATCATTTGTAGGATATGACTGATACTAAACACACTCACTCCTGTGAAAGGCTTGCTGTGGAGATTTTTGCCTTGCTAGAGGTTGATGAATCTAATGTTTTGCTCTTTGTTCTAATATGGTAGGGTTTATAGTTGTTGTCTTCTGTCAAGGATTTGTGAATGTTTTTGAAGTGATGTTTCTTCACTTGCCTGTTTTGGTGTGTTGGTTTTTTTTTACCCGCCAAAAATTTGCTCCTTGGGTTGGCCTGTTGGCACAATCCTACCTGACATCCTTTGATTGAAAAGTGAAGGAGGTAGATGACAAATTGGCTGAACAGCTGTTTGCGGACTGTTAGAATACAATAAACAGAGTGCGCAAAACCTCGGACAGTAAGGCCTCATGCACACTGAACGTTATAAAAACGCCAGTAGCGGTTCGCTGTAGAATGACACGTTAAAATTTGAGTTTTGTCTAATTTTTTTTAGCGTTTTGCATTAGCGTTTTTTCAGCTGTTGTAGCAAAATTATACTCCTAGAAAAGGTTAAGGCTCAAAACACTGGATATGTGCGTTTTGCAGTGTTAGAGCATTTTTACAGCTGAAAAACTCCTCTTCAAACGCAGTAGTTGTGGGATTATTTCCGGTCTGAAAATGCTACTGTTAAAAAACGCTGATAAAAGCCTATGTGTGTGCATGAACACATAGAAGAGCATGCTGGTGAGTTTACTGGCTGTAGAAAAAAAACATCTGGTGCCCAAAACAGCAGCTGTAAAAGCACACGGTGTACATGAGGTATAAAAATCACAATAAAAATAAACAAAGTAATACAAATAATATCAGCATCACTAAATAAAACCACCAATATAGTGGAAAAATAAAGGCATTTCAGTATAAATCAAACAATGATATAATAAAAATGGAAATCCTCTCCCAAAGGGTTGTACAGGGCTCTGCTAGGGGGCCAATATAATCAGTCTTGTGTGAAATTGAATGTTCACTCCCAAAGGAATATTTTAGGGCTCCACTAGGGGGCCAGTGTAGAATCTTGTGTGAAAATGAAATGCCACAATGCCACGTATTTCAGTTCCAACCACCTTGCATATAGATATATGAATTACCTTACCAGATTAGCAGGATCTCCAGATTATAAGAGATCAGTAGTGCAAGATATGCCTAATACAAATCACACCAGCGTATGGTAACAATCTCCACGCCCACCAGATCCTCCAATGGCTGTCTGGAAAGCATAAATTCTCCAAAGTAAGATTCAGAGGAAAATACAGAGGACCATAGAGTAATATTGCTAAAAACGCCAGTTTATCTAATGCAAATATACACACAAGCATTTCAGGGAAACAAAGTTCAAAATCACCGTGCTGCGGTACACCAGCAGGGGTGATGTCCTAGGCCACTAGACCCCTTACTAAGCATTTTGTCTATGCAAGGGACATCCTCAATGGACATAAAGGACCTGTTCTGCTGCAGAACAAAGTGGAGTCAGGCTGAGCACTTCTCTGAATTGCTGAGAATGCTTTGCTTTGTATTTTCTGAATCAATACAAAACTTCCTCTGACTGGTTGATATGGAGGGGCAGGTAGATGTCACAATTTCTGCCTTAGCCGATCAGAGGAAGCCTTGTATTCCTTTTTAACCACCTCCTGCCCGCCATATAAGGAAATGATGGGCGCAAGGCGGTTCTCTCGTTCTTGGAGGACATCATATGACGTCCTCCCGCTCTAACCACGCGTGCGCCCCCAAGAGAATGGTGATCTGTGGTGCGCTGTGTCCCTGGGTCACAGTGGATCATCGATCAACGGCAAGAGCGTCGGCTTTGTCATGTGATCAGCTGTGTTCAATCACAGCTGATCGCATGTAAATAAGGAAATGCTGGTTATCGGCATTCCTCTCCTCACAAGCTGTCACACTGAAAGCCCGTGAAGAGAGGAGAGCCGGTAATAGGCATTACTCAGAGGGGACATTTACACTGGTGACCAATGTGTCCTGATGGTCAGTGTAGCCCTATGAGTGCCACATGTCAGTGCCCATCAATGCCACATATCAGTGCCCATCTGAGCTGCCAGTCATTGCCGCCTATCAGTGCGCATCAGTGCCGCGTATAGGTGCCAGTCAGTGCCACCTATCAGTGCATAAAAAATTATAAAAACTTCATATGGGTACAGTGTTGCATGACCATGCAATTGTTATTCAAAGTGCAACAGCACTGAAAGCTGAAAATTGGCCTGGGCAGGAAGGGGGTAAAAGTGCCCTGTAGGCTAGTGGTTAAAATGCCTTCCTCTTGTGGTGGTTTATGTAAGAATTTTATTCTAAATACGTAGGGCGGTGTCCTCTCCCTTAAACAAAAAATATAGCAGTGCCTCCAGCCGTTAAAATACGGCAAATATTTAATGAACCAATAATTTGGACACCTTAATAATTTGATCACCACTTAATAATATACCTTGAGTCCTTTTACCAATATGATTTCGTACCATATAAACAAAATTTGCCTTTTTAATAAATTTATTTATGTACAAAATTTAAATATATATTAATACAAACGCAAAATACTGATGATAAATGTATACTTGTACACACAATCAAAAATAATGGTAAATATAAGAAAAAACTAATTTTGAGGGATTAATCTTCTAGTGCTTCAGAAATTATTTCTCATATTCCGTGGCCATAGAAATATAAGAAAGTATTCTCTGATAAATTGCACTACAACAAAACTACAAATCCGTTAATATGCAATATATAATCTTGATACCAAAATCAAACAATTTTAGTGATAGTTTTTATATATATATATATATATATATATATATATATATATATATATATATATCCTTAATATATTCCTAAAACACACACAATAAATGTTATAAATCTTAGAAAGTTGAAATGTCAAAGAAAATTTCAATATTCTAGCAGTCTCACCACTCCCAGAATTTGACTGAGCATCAGCGTCTCTGGTGGAAATTTTTCCTTCAAAATGGCAGCTGGAAGTTCTCAGCAAAATGGCCGCAGGTAGCAAGTGAGTATAGTGCAGTATATAGTGGTAGGAGTAGTGAAGAAATAGTTGGAAGATTAAGTTCAGAAGTGATCAAGAAGTAGTAGCAGTCTTTTAGAAGAAGTGAAGTGATTATTAGAAGTCTTGAAGTATTGAGGTCTTGAAGTGCTCAGGTGATCAAGTGAGTTAATCAGTTTGTGAGTTTTCTTGAGTTTAGGTGTTTGGCATTTTATATCATCCAATTCCATTGTTCCGAAAAGACCTCCCAACAGACTTGATGATTGGACGGTTGAGAAGTTGCGTATCTAGAGATATTCCGCACCTGTCCACTGGGGACAGTCCGGTATCACAAATGAATTGGTGGCCTTAATGATGACTCATCCTTTGATAGAAACAAAAATCTTTTTTTTTTTTATCAAATATATGTCCTATTCAAGTATAGTTGATTTCACTACTAACTCTTGGATAAGGACCATAGAAAGATGTAAATACATTTGGTTTCTCATTTTCCTGATATTTAACTGTATTGGAATAGCTGATTTCTTTTGGAAATGTATACAATTTACCCCAATTCACAAATCATCTTCTTCTTCATCACTTCAAACTTAGTTGAGTGGGATGCAATACCTAACCTTCTCAAATATATTTTCTCTTGATAAAAAGTGTTGGTAATATGCCTTTTGATAATGTCTCTGTGGGTAGATATAACATGTTTTTAGCTTTAGATGACCTAAGTTTCACCTTCTTGTTTAACCACTTGCCGACCGCGCATAGCCGAATGACGGCTGCACCGCGGCCGGCTAGTTCTGGGTGGACGTCATATGACGTCCTCCCAGAACGCGCTCTCCTGCGCGCCCCAGGGGGCGCGCACCCGGCGATCTCCGTGATCGCTGTGTCCTACGGACACAGCTGATCACGAGATGTGGTGAAAGGCCGATCCCACCGGCCTTTTACCACGTGATCAGCGGTGTCCAATGACACGCTGATCACAGGAAAATGCAAGTGCCGGTTCTCGGCTGCACTTTCCTCACGCTGTCAGATCGTGAGGAAAGTACTGCCGAGAACCGGCAGTTGTCAGAGCGGGGATTGGCACCGATCATCAGGGCACTGATGATCAGTGCCCTGATGATCGGTGCCCAGCAGTGACCCCCGCAAGTTCCTCCCAGCAGTGCGCCCACTAGCCCCGCCCACCCATGCCCAGCAGTGCCCCCACCTGTGCCCAGCAGTGCCCCCACCTGTGCCCAGCAGTGCCCCCACCTGTGCCACTCTGCAGTGCCACCTACCTGTGCCCAGAAGTGCCACCTACATGTGCCAGCAGTGCCACCCACCTGTGCCCACCCACCTGTGCCCACCAGAATGCCACCCACCTGTGCCCACCAGTGCCACCTACCTGTGCCCACCCACCAGTGGTGCCCACCAGTGCCGCCCACCAGTGCAGCCCAGCAGTGCTGCCAGTCAGTGCCACCAGTCAGTGCCCAGGGGTTGTGCCAGTCAGTGCCGCCAGTCAGTGCCCAGAAGTGATGCCAGTCAGTGCCGTCTATCAGTACCCATAATCAGTGTCACCTATCAGTGCCGCCTATCAGTGCCGCCTATCCGTGACCCCTAATTAGTGCTGTCTATCAGTGCCGCCTATCCGTGCCACCTCATTAGTACTGCCTATCAGTGCCCTTTAGTGCTGCCTATCAGTGCCGCCTATCAGTGCCCATCAGTGCCGCCTCATCAACGCAAATCAGTGAAGAAGAAAAAATACCTGTTTGAAAAATTTTATAAAAGAAACAAATAAACTTTTTTTTTTTTTTCAAATTTTTTGCACTTTTTTTAATTTATAGCGCAAAAAGTAAAGCGCCCAGTGGCGATAATACCACCAAAAGAAAGCTCTATTTGTGAGAAAAAAATGATCAAAATTTCATATGGGTACAATGTTGCATGACGGCGCAATTGTCAATCAAAGTGCGGCAGCGCTGAAAGCTGAAAATTGGCCTGGTAAGGAAGGGGGTATAAGTGCCTGGTAGGCAAGTGGTTAAGGCATGAGGCTCCCATGAGGGGGGAAAAACCCTCTGTTTACCTGTTTATTGTGTGGTAGTTAGGGTAAACAGCCAGTTATATTTTGACCTCCGTGGATAATAGTATATTGTCGGCTCAAAAAGTCTTGTTTGGGAATCCATACTTCCAAGGTTTTGTGAGATGTTTGACTCCTTATAATTGAGTTTCCTGCTATCAAAGTATCTCCTAGCTTCACATAGACAATGGTACTTGTTTAGATGACATACATCTGCAAGGTCTTGGAATAACCAGAATCAGATACCACCATTGTAATTTTCTGGTACTTTGTTTGATCACCTGTAGAAGTTCAAATAGTGATATTGTGTCTTGAACAAGCTTTTTCCCTCATTGTTTATGGTAGCCCCTGGAAGGTTACCTGCAGTTGATCAATCAAGGAGGTTAACCTCTCACAGTCAGCTAGGATTTCCAATTTGAAATAATATAATGTTTTGGTTTTCTTTTTTTTTTTACGAAATAGTCCCCAAAAGTCATTACACTCTGAATGGCTGAGCAGTGCTCATCCTGACTCAATTTTCTTCCAGGAGTGTGATGGAAAGTTTCCATCCTCTCGAAGGTAAATATTGATAAATAGAAGCACAGTGAATGTGCCCGGAGTTCACTAGACCATAGCAAGCGGGTTTAACCATTTGATAAAGCTGGGTATACGTGCGTCAGTTTTTGTTTTGTTTTTTAGTTCCGCTGTAAGGCTGAACAAAAAGAAATGAATGGATTACCCCCATCCACACAAGTGGGGTGTTGGAGGATTCCTCCCCACTGTGCTGTTATATTCTGATGGCGAGGATTCTTCCACTGTCAGAAAACACTGCTCAGTGCTTCAGTAGCTGATAGAAAAAAAGTTTTCCAACAGTCCGGTTCAACAGAAATCATTCTACCCATCAACTTCTGTTGAACAGGGAGGGCCATAAATTTAAAGTGGATCTTTACCCCAAAGCCATTGTATTCAATTGCTTTACATCCTGTCACACAGCTATCATTTTATTTTTATTCTAAAGGCTGGTACACATGGGCCAAATATCAGCCGGTATTGGTTGGTTCAAGAGAAACCGGATGATATTTGGACAGTGTGCATAGCAGCTTGTCTGACAGAAGCCTGTCCAACATCTGGCTTCTGTCAAACTAGCATGCTGGAAAACCAGCACTTGATCAGCCCTGGCAGCCAATGTGTGTTCTGGATGGGGGGGGGGGGGGGGGGGGGGGGGGCAGAGGGCAGCCTCCCCTGTCAGAAAACAATAGCTCAGCTAACATTGATTTAGTACTGTAAGCTCTTGTGTTTTTTTTTTTTTTTTTTTTTTTATGTTCTCTAGGTTGAATGAAAAACTTATTCTGTGTAGCATTATTCTGTGGAGGAGTTGGTTTTTAGGCTTGTAAAATGCACGTTGTACGCATTTTTCAGGCGCTTACATTGAAGTTTATTGGGGCCTAGAATGCACAGTCATTCAAAGAATCTCCTCTACTTGCTCTGAGACCGCATTGACAGCACATTAACAGATGTGATTGGGGACAGTAAAATCGCACGGATATCTGGTGTCACGCATTGAGGTGCTTTTGGAAATGCACTTCAAATCACTCAGGTATAAATGAGGGCTTATTCTGGCAGTATATGCAGACAGAAGGGATTATTTGATAATAGATGTCCCAAAAAACTGACCTTCTAAATAATATGAATCCAACATTAAACAAACATGACTGACACCAGCAAAAGGGAAGCTCGCTTATGTATGGCTGTGGGAGAAAAATGTTGTGGTCCAGAATCCACATGTACATCTTTGTTTACACAATCAGAAAAAAATTCAAACAGTTTCCTTTAGGAGTTTAGTGCTCCTGACTCTTAAACCCACTAGCACTCTCGTGGTATCTCCTATGATGCTTGATTACTGCAGTGGATGTTTGGATTAGTGCTTCAGAATACTGGGCTGTGCATGAGCAGCATGACTGTCAATCGTGGTTAATTACCTTCTTTACTCTATATTTAGCATACTGTGCTATAGTTTTGTTTGCAAAATCTTTGACTGTGATGTATCTATTGTGCTGATATATTCAATAATCAACAGAAACTGGGCCAGATAAACTATTGTCTCTGCCCCAAATTCTTGGCGTATGAAAAGCTGTTATCTTGGATGCATTATATAATAGTTCACTAAGAAGGGTTTAAAACAAAAGATACAACTAGTGTGGCATATGTTTAAAAAAAAAAAAAAAAAATAATAAATCCCGAGTGCGCCTTTCTGCACAAAAGATCTCACAATATGTTCCAAATAAATAATGCAGTAGTACGCAAAAAGGATGATTTCACACAACAGCTACACATTCTACTGTGCTCCTAATAAACGATATGCTCTCCAACATATTAGGTTTTTTTGGTTTACCTGTAAAATCCTGGAGTACATTGCAGGACACAGGTTTTCTTTATATCTATAACGGTTGAGTTATGTTGTCATTGGTGAATGTATGCTGGCTAAAAAAAGCAGACTTTTCTGCCCAGGCATAACCCCTCTTAGCACAAAAACCTCATTATTTTTTTTTTGGCATGCGAGTAGGAACTTCAAAAAGAGAGGAGGGAACCCTGTGTTCTGTGATGTACTCTGAGGACACAGGGTTTCTTTATGTCTATAACAAATGGGATGACTCAAAACACTGAATATGAGGAGAGGGCAATATGGCAACAAGCCCCAAAAAAAAATAAAAAAAACTGGGAAAATGTCCACTACAGAGCTGCTTGCAAGACTTTCTGCCCAAAACTGGTGTCCACAGAGGTGAGAGTATCTCGCTGGTAAAACTTGGTAAATTTGTGAATTGAAGGACAGGTAGCGGCCTTGCAAACGTTTAACAGCCTAAATTTGATGCTGGATCACTCAGGAAGCACTGACTCTCCAGGTAGAATAACTTTTGACTGGAAACGGAGGAACCTGGTTGCTAAGGCCATAGGACTGAGAATAAGTGTGAGAACTGAGAATAGTGAATTGGTATGCAGCCTGTCCCTTGCAAAGTCCCTTTGACCGAACAAACAGGGAGTCTAACTGCTTAAACAAAGCTGTAAACTACAGATATATCCACACAGCTCAAAAAACATCCTAGCAGTAACTAGTAAGTAAATAATCCTTAGGGTGATTAGGATTAGGACAGAAAGATGGTAACAGTGTTCTAATTCAGATAGAAAAACTTATCTTTGACCTCAACACACCTTGTGAAGGACCACAAAAGGTTCTTACAGGTAAGGGTAGCCAGCTTTGAGACCTTTGAAGCTAAAATGGTTCTAAAGGCTGAAGGTTTCTTTTTCTTTTTTTTTACCCTCATGCATTCTATGCATGAAGATAAATAACCTTCAGTGTGCAACTCCCCCACTCCCTAATTACTTGAGCCTGATCTCATTCCAGAGGTGTGCATGAGAACCCTTTTCATCAGCTCAGACACAGCAGACAACAGCATATGTAAAGCACCCTTCTGGTGGCATCAATGGATACCAGGTATCCAGGTGAGCAGTGCCCACAGGATCCAGTGCCAACTTTACAGGCTGTCCCTGATCTTCTGCAGCAGGGTCTGGGTACTGTCTTTCTGGGCCCTATGGTCTCAAGCACCCAATGTGGATAAAGCCCTTGTTTTCCTCAGCAAGTGTGTATGGAATTGGCAGTGAAAATCTCTAGGCTAACAGCCACATACAGGAAATCTTCAGACACTTCACAGGACAGTAGCACAGATCCTAGGCTGTGTGGTGCTGGGAGGGGTTATGCCTGTATTTGGCAGCGTAACCCAATTGTTAGGAATATGCAGAAACCCCGTGTCCTGTGGAGTATGATTAAGAGATTTTATTTGCTATACAGTGCACCAAATAAAAAAGGGGTTTCCTGCAACAAGTCGTATTTCACAACTCACTGGCCCACTGTTACATTGGTTACTAATCTGCAATGTGTTTGGCAGGCTTGTGCAAAATGTATCATGATTGCTTGAGTGTACCATGTAATGCATGTTACCCAGGGGTTCATGGGAATGATGGAATTATAACAAGAGTTCATCAGGAAAGTGACCGTGTATGTTTAAATGTTTTATACATGCTGATATCTTCTTTTTTTTTTCTTTGGGGCAGTCCACTCCCTCTCCTTCGGCTGACCTCTTGGGCCTGGGAGGTCCTTCTGCTGCTGGTCCTGGTGCGCTCCCTGCTGCGTCCTCTGATAATCTGCTTGTGGACGTTTTTGCTGATTCATCTCTGCCAGTTGCTGCTGTCGCTACAGGGGCGGAAGAGAACTTTTCAAGGTACGATGCTGATATTCAAAGTGGGAGTGAGAGATGAAATGTGTAGACTGGTACGTTGAGAATGTGACGTTTTCTGGATAGCTTTATATTGTCCTAAGTTTTGGCTGAGACAGCTATGTTTGCATAGTAGTTTGAACGTAGTCAGAATAAAGCGTATGTATAGTCAAAATATAAAACACATATTCAGCATAGCTCTCCAATACATGTACAGTTCCCCGTGTTATGTAACTTTAAAAATGCTGCATGTACTAAACAATACCAGATCCTCCTAGAAATACAGTCTGCTCCCAACTCCCTGTAGTGGGTTCACAACCCCGTGCATCTTGATGCACTGAAATAGCAGGAGAGGGGAAGAAACTGCAGGAAGCTGGTATGGGACTGGTGAGAATATAACCTGAGAGTTAGGGAGAGGGATGTGCTGATGTCCAGCAGAGAAATCAAGGGCTGCCAACAGTTCCTGGGATTTTAGTGCTGCAGTGGCAGATTTGTATGCTCACTGCAGAAAGTTTGGAGCCCACTGGATTTCTGGAAGGATTATGAAGTATTTTTTTAAAAAGAGGAAAAGCGTATGTATTTCAGAGCTCTGCTGACTTTTTAGATTTTACCTATGCATACACCTTAAAGCATTTTGTTAGTGTGCATGCTGGGATTAGGGGAACTAATGGTGCTCCATGTTGCTGCCTCTTTTCCCCTTGGTTTTTTTTCTACCTGCCGCCGATGCCCGCTACAGCGAAGTTCCAACGCTCTCAGAAGGGGCATCTGGGGAGCCAGACCCTTCTGTACATGATGCAGATGATTCCTACTACAAGTAAGCAAACCAAACCCAATCAGAAAGGCACATTAGGTTTTTCTAACCATTCTCTTTTCCTACTGCAGTCTAGCTTCTCATTTATAGGAGTTCATGGTATTAAAGCAGCAGTGTACACTCGCATACAGTAGGCAGAGCAAAACACCTAGAGAAATCTTTGTACGTTTTTAGGCTTTTCAAGTGACAAATGCATACTAGTCCTTCTAGTTTTAAGTTAATGTACATTGTAAAATAAAATTTAGCCCAAAAAAAGGCATTTAAACGTTACATTAACCAGAGCTATTTCTTTCTTAGAGTGTTGCTCTGTATTGTAGAGCTCTTAATTCTAAAGCATTGCATGCAAACTAAAATGCATTGCATTAAACTAAAAAAAATAAATAAATTGACCTCCTCTCCGCCTCACCATCACCTGCAGTTTCTTGGTGGTGTTTCCATAAGTTGTGCTGTGGAAGTCTCATGTAGTAGCCCATCCTAATAATTAAAGCATAGGAATTATTAGGTAGTCCTGGAAATAGCTTCAGCTGCAGTTCTTTGTTTAGGGGGGGCGGACAATATTTGAATAAATTCTTTTAAATGTTTACTCAGGCTTATTACTATGCATTTGAAGGATCATTTAATAGTTCATCTTTAAAAAAAAAAAAAAAAAAAAAAAAAAGAATTAATAAATGCACATCTTTTTGCAGGTTAAAAAAAAGTTTATTTTTATTAGGAGCCTGTAAAGCAGCAGTTTGTGGGTGCAATCTCAGGCACCTGTCAGTGTAGCTGTCTGCCCGTACCTTGTATGGGCAGGCAATTACTGAATGACAGGGAAAAGCAATGATCTACCTAGAGCGCTCCTCTGTGCCCTGGTAATTTGAGAACTACAAGTAGTCAGCTGCAATGGCTGACTGTAGTTGTAGTTTTCCCATTCACAGAACTTTTTTTTTTTTTTTTTTTTTAAATTGTGACAGATGTGTGGAAAACCAGCCCGCTGTCACAACGGAGGCTCAAGGGGGATGAGGGGGCTGCTCATTTACTAAACTGTTACACCCTGGAAAGATGAACTTATCCTTTAAAAAGTATATGAATCCTTTTCATCCACCTGTCTGTGTACCCTGTGTGGCCAAGATGGGTATATCTACTTCTAACTTATCCATTTGCCCTTGTTTAACTAGCACAGACATTACAACGTGTATGACAAAAAATCAGCAGAAACAACTGATGCATGTGGTTGTTCATTAAAAGAATTTGTTTTTAGAAGAGAGTAGTGTGATCCTGCACAGTCATGTTGACCAAGACAGGAACTTAGGAGAAACCTCTATAGTTGGAACAAAGACCGCAGTAAAATCACATTTTTAATAGAACAATCTCTGATAGGGTTCAGGCAGCAATACAATCTAATTTCTGATTGTTTCTTGCTTCGCATGTCATTGAGGGTATATGCCCTAAAATGGGACCAAACCTGTAGGAAAAACTTGAGCCTCTTCCATTCTATTTCCTATAAACCCTTGGATTACTTTTATCATATGATTTTGCTTACACAGTGACTACTGAGAAAAAATACATTTTAGAAACATACAAAAACTCCTTTTGAAATGCATTCCTTGCCTCAAATGTTGACTTTCTTTAGGTAGATAAGATGTCACTGCTGCTTTAATCAGACTATTGTTACATGCAGAAATCTTCCATCTACCCATGTAACAAAATACCATGTATCCAAGGGCCCCTGGATCGCTTTGATTTTTGCATGCATTGCAGTAGGAGTGCCCTAGTTTCCATATCTCTAACATGGTTCTGACTGAGAGCCCACTGCCCACATCAGACTAAATAACCTGCCACTGGTGGTCTCCCTGCCAGATGATCTGCGTGTGTTTTCTTTCTAATCCTAATAGCATTTCCTGCAGCATTTTATCAAATCTTCAAAATGCTGCTATGTATGACTTTGATGATTTACTAAAGTAGGGTCTGTGTCTTCACAAAGAGAACACCGATTTTTTTACCATATTCTTTTTGAACTCTAACTTTCCAACTGGCATCTTAAAGTAGACCTGCAGTAGTCCTAGTTCTGCAAAGGATTACAAGACAGGTAGGCACTGTGCTTGCTTGTTTTATTTAATTAAAAAATAAATATAATATTTACCCTCACAGAAATTAGTATGGCATGTCAGCATAACCAAATTCAATTTTTTTTTTTTTTTTTGCAGTAAAAATAATACCTGCAGAAAGAAAATGAGATTTTTGTACTCATCGTAAACTTGTTGGTAAAATTCACAGAGGGGAGTCTACTACCACTTTAAGAAAAAATACACTGATTGATGCAGTTAATGAATAAGCCGATGCATTCATTTGGATTATTATTATTTTTTTTTATTTTAATTCAACTGAAGTTCAGCTTTAAAGCAAAACCTTGGAAGTAATATGGAGATGGCTATTGCTGACCACCTAAAACTGAAAGTTCTGATTGTTATGCTGCGTCTGTGGTTCCAATACTTTTTGACCCAGACTGAGGATACAGACCAAGAATGCTAATGTAAAGTTGAAGTCTTTACCTGCATACTTGTTCTAGGTCTGTGATGCCTAAGTATTGAAGCAAGAGGGGGTCAGCATGACACTCTGGCAGTTGGAAAACCACACTCTCCCCACGGTCCACAGGTGGACTGTTCCTGTCTATGGAGCATGCTTTGAGTGTGCTGACATCATGAACAGTCCATTTACAAGACCGCTGGACCACGGAGGGGCTGGAGCTGAAGGGACCGGTCTTGTGCGGGGAGGATCGGTGGGTCAGGTTAGTATATCTCCGCTGTTCTCTCCCCAGAGCAAAATGAGCAATTAACCCGTGCAGTGCGGCACAGCCCCACTGCACAAGCAAAAAAAATGTATTGCCTGGAATTCTGCTTTAAAGCTAGAAACTGCTGAATCAATATACAATCCAGGACATAACGCACTGTAAAAAAAAAAAATTTTTTTAACCTCCACCGCGTTATGCTGATGAACTGAATAGCTTACATTGAGCAAGATGCAGGGACCGTTGAGTCACCAGAGCTGACACTTTTTCCCTGATAACAGGCATTTAGGCTATGACATCTTAATTTAGGCACACACTATTTCTTATATTTCTAATTTTTCTGTGTGGTTCCTGTTTCTACTTTGGAATCCAGTGTGTTTTACAGTAAGGGTTTTTAATCTGAAAATACAATGTTATTTATAATTTGTACCCAGACTAAAGAGGAATAGTGCTTAGCTATTTTCTTTAATGCCACACTGTTGAAAATTCCCAAATTCTTATAATAAAAAAAAAGCACAATGTCTACCTCCATTATTTTTGTAGCATCACATTAATTGCACACCGGCAGGTCCACTTTGTGAAATTTTGCCAGTTCAAATCAGCCGCTATTGTGATTATGCCTGATTATTTGTTTTGATCTTTGTGGTTCCCAGTAATCCACTCCATAACCCTGATCATGCAAGTGACATATTTGTTACCATTCTGTGTGGCACTTTGTGCTTGCAGAATAGCTGTCAGTAGAGAACCTTTCCCTGATGACAAAAGTTCTAGTTCTCAAGATGCCATTTTCCTTTTGTGCTTTAGTAAATATAGTCATACTTTTTCCTTTACCCCTCATTAACTTTACTTCTGAAAAATAATTCTTTCTCCTCTCTAGAAGAGATAATTCATTTATCTTTGTCCTACATTTTGAAGGTTTATCTGCAAAAATAATGGTGTCCTGTTCGAGAACCAGCTACTGCAGATTGGCCTGAAATCTGAGTTTCGCCAAAATTTGGGTAAGTGTTAATGTAGTCTGAGCCATTAAATGCTCATCCAAGCTGCCAACATAAGTTGTTTATAACACACCTGAAAGAGGGTAATTGCCGGGAATATAAATACAAACCCGATACTTAAAACAATAAAACTACAAATGTGCAAAATACATACAATGCAACTGACGTTAGTTGTTTATATTCTCCCGTGTCTGCGATTTATGTTTTAATTTATGTTTTAGAGACAGCAGTAGCACAGTCTATATTACAAAAAGAAAAAGGTTATAAGGTTGTTTAAATGCTTTTTTCTCCTGCATTAGTATGATGTAAACTTCAAAAGCCTGGAAGCTTCAAGCATAAAATATATTGAAAAAGTGCATACGCATAGGTTTCTTTCAGTTGAGAAAGTCCTTCTTGCACAAATACCCCCAATCATTCCTACTAGCACAAAACCCCTTCCAAAAAATTCCCCCTCCTAGCAGAAATCTCCCCCCAAACTCCCAAATCACCCCCCTTCCCAATTCCCCTCTCCTAGCACAAATCATCCCCCCCACTCACCTCCTAGAACAAACTTTACTGTCCGCCTCCCCCCCACATACCTCCTCTCAGTACAAATCCCCGCCCCTCCCAAATCACCCCTTGTAGCACTTTTTTCTTCCGTCCCAACAAGAACTAATCTTACCCTGCCACACTCCAAATTCTCCATCCCAGTACAAATCACCCCTTCCCCTCTCCTAGCACAATTCCCCCCCCCCCCGCACCTAGCACTAATCCTCTTCTCCCTCCCCCTCCTGAAACAAATACTCTCACCCCATCACAATTGTTTGTTACTCTGTCCGCTCACCCCCATTGAGCAATTCTCCCCTCTTTCCGAGACGCAGACCTCAGATGCAGCACGGCTGTGTGATGCCCTTCCTCTTAGGCTCCTCTTCATCTTGACATTTAAGCGTTGAGGAGGAGCCTAGGGGAAGCTAACATCGAGCGCATTTGACATGCAGGTGGCTGGGAGAGATGCGGTTCAGGGAGACCACTTGATGTAGATTGGGACTTTATAGGGTTTGCTTACCCACTCCCTACCCACATTCTTTGCTGTGAGGACATGGGGGCTGGTAAGAAAATCTTGCACAGTCCTGATCCAGAAAAGCTGCAGTGGCAGGAATGTGAAGCTGGAAGGGAGAGGGCACAAATCGCACCTTCTTGCTCTCTCCTCTCCAGATTTGGCTGGTGTTATTCAGCGCTAAGCTGACAGAAGTAGTGATGGTGCTGTCAGTACTCCTTTCAGTTTGGAGCGCAGTACTCGACAATTCCCAGGCGCCGTGGCGACCAGAAACCGCACCTGGGCCTCTGCCAGCTCATGCTGCCCTGTTCTACCCTGCCCCACAGAGTGGAGCCCAGCGTTCTGGGACCCCCAGAGTTTCCCCCATCCCTCCCCATGCACAGAGTCCTGCACAGCCCCCGTGAAAGCCAGTCCCACTGCCCCCCACGGTCTTGCTGCCTTCCTCTTGTCCAGTTACCCCCTCATCCCTCTGACCCTCTCCTGTGATGCTGCCCCCAACTGGCTCCTAACTTTAACTGATTTCTTAATTCAAAGCAAATTTGTCAAGCCCTGTTTTAGCGGCAGGAACACTCCTTGCATTGCCCCCCCTCCTCCCGGACAAGCTACCAGCACCCCAAGCAGCCACTCCTCCTGCCCAACTCTTGTTCCGGGCCTGCTCAGGCTGCTAAAGATTTATGCAAATCTGGACTCTTCCTGTAAGTATTAAGCTAAGTACCACCTTTCCCTCCCCCAAACTATTGGTCACTAATGATGACGACTCATTGACCAATATATGAAGACTAAGAAGTGATACTACTAGATTCAAGCTCAACTGTTGAAAAACAAGTACATATTAGTTTAGTTTTCTTTACTTCTGGATCTATGGACTATTTTTTAATTGCAGTGTTTGTTGAGGTAATCTCCACTGCATTTTTTCTTTATGGACACAAGTTTTTTCATTTAACTTATCAGTTACCTGCTTCAAGAATACATAGCTGTTGCGTTACCATCTCTATCCTGCTGATGGCAGTCTAAGTATTTGTTCTTCTAGTCATGTCTTGATCTTTTCTCTAGGTCGAATGTTTATTTTCTATGGCAACAAGATGTCTTCTCAGTTCCAGAACTTCACTTCAACACTAATGTGCTCAGATGAACTTAAAGCCAATATCCTTTCCAAAAATGAATGATAATTGTGTGAATAGCTGTGCTTATGTATACAAGTAGTAGTAGTTATATTTTGGAGGTGTCTATAGGACCAGTAGTGTATATGTATGTGTGTGTGTATATATGTATGTGTGTGTATATGTGTGTATGTATTATATATATATATATATATATATATATATATATATATATATATATATATATTTATAATTTTATTCCCTCCATATGTCCTGGTGCAAAACATCCCATGGAAATTTCTCTCCACTGCCTTGAGCTCTGGTCCAAATCTGCTCACTCATCCTTTTCTCAGATTTACAAGATTTTCTGCTACCTGGTCTTCTGTTCATATATAAGTTCTACCAGGTGGATATTCAGGCCCCCTCTGGTGCCAATATTAGGTGTTGGGTCCTAACAACTGCTCCCTGGGACTGTCAGGACATTGACTTTGTTTGTGTGCCTGCTGGCATATGTTTGCTGTGTTGCCTATCCCTCAGTTTAACTGCTTTTGGATTGTCCATGGTAGACTAAAGATCCTGTGCCCTGAGGAGCATAGGAGGAGGTCTCTGTACTAACCATGTGATTTTTAGTACAGTAATTTCAGTTTCCCCGTTGAGCTATTGTATTCTGACAGGGGGACTTCATCCTCCCCATCAGAACACACCGGTCAGCGCTTGGCTGAGAGTGCTGATCGGATGCCGATTGGCTGCTGGTTTTCCAGCATGCCCTTTCAATAGAAGCTGGTTGTGAGATCAGCTTCTGTCAAACAAGGACCTGTACACATGGGCAGAATGTCAGCTGGTATTCGGCCCGTGTGTGCGTGCCTTAAAACTTAAATCTGTCAATGCCATAGACAAGTCCCACCCTGCTATTCTTTATGATCTCCATATTGCTTGCCACAAAACTGAGGTAGCTGGGAGTTGCATGGATTATATATGGATATGTCCCTGCAGCTTCTCTTTTACCAGTGTCCAGTCACCTGAAGGTAGCTGCGTGTAATCCATGGTAGTCTTTAAAGGTCCTGTACTTGAAGAAATTGGATTTTACCGGCATATCTCCACATTATTATATGCAGAATCTAACTGTGTTTGAACACTGCCAATTCCTAATACGATGTGATTTGGTTCACAGCATTTAGTTAATTATTATATAGGCAGATGTAGGGGTAACCTTTTCAAATAATACAGTTGCAAGAAAAAGTATGTGAACCCCTTGGGATTACGTGGTTTTGCATGAATTGGGCATAAAATGTGCTCTGAACGTCATGTAAGTCACAACAATAGAAGAATACAGTCTGCTGAATATAATACTACACAAACATTAGATGTTGCCATGGTTTAATTGCACATAACATGTAAACATTCACAGTGCAGGGAGAAAAAGTATGTGAGGCCCTAGTTTAATGACTTCTCCCAGAGCTAATTGGAGCCAAGAGTGAGCCAACCTTGACTCCAATCAGTGTGATGATATTGGATGTGTTGCTGACAGCTGTCCTGCCCTTAAAAAAACACACACCTGTTTTGGGTTTACTGGTTTCAAGAAGCACTGTCTGATGTGAACCATGCCTCGCAGAAAAGAGCTCTCAGAAGACCTACGGTCAAGAATTGTTGACTTGCATGAAGCTGGAAAGGGTTACAAAAGTTACGTGTGTCCACGGTAAGACAGACTGTCTACAAATGGAGAAAGTTTAGCACTGTTGCTACTCTCCCTGGCGTGGTCATCCTGTAAAAATGACTGCAAGAGCACAGCGCAGAATGCTGCATGAGGTAAAGAAGAATCCCAGAGTGTCAGCTAAAGACCTACAGAAATCTCTGGCACATGCTAACATTTTTGTTGACACATCTACAATAAGGAAAACATTAAACAAGAATGGAGTACATGGGAGGACACCATGGAGGAAGCCATTGCTGTCCAAAAAGAATATTGCAGTACGTTTGAAGTTTGCAAAAGAGCACCTGGATATTCCACAGCACTACTGGCAAAACATACTGTGGACAGATGAAACCAAGATTGAGTTGTTTGGGAAGAACACACAACACTATGTGTGGAGAAAAAAAGGCACAGCACACCAACATCAAAACCTCATCCCCACTGTAAAACATGGTGGAGGGAGCATCATGGTTTGGGGCTGCTTTGTTGTCATTGATGGGAAAATGAATTCCAGAGTTTATCAAAACATTTTGCAAGAAAACGTACAACCATCTGTCCGCCAACTGAAGCTCCGCAGAGGATGGGTGATGCAACAGGACAATGACCCAAAGCATACAAGTAATTCAACAAAACAATGGCTGCAACAGCACAGAATAGGCCTTCTGGAGTGGCCCAGTCAGAGTCCTGACCTCAACCCGATTGAAATGCTGTGGCATGACCTTAAGAGAGCGATTCACACCAGACATCCCAAGAATATTGCTACAATGAAACAGTTTTGTCAAGAGGAGTGGTCCAAAATTACTCCAGATCGTTGTGCAGGTCTGATCTGCAACTACAGGAAATGTTTGGTTGAGGTTATTGCTGCCAAAGGAGGGTCAACCAGTTATGAAGTCCAAAGGTTCACATTCTTTTTTCCTCCCTGCACTGTGAATGTTTACATGTTATGTGCAATTAAACCATGGCGACGTCGAATGTTTGTGTAGTATTATGTTCAGCAGACTGTATTCTTCTATTGTGACTTAGATGACGTTCAGCGCACATTTTATGCCCAGTTCATGCAAAACTCCACGTAATCCCAAGGGGTTCACATACTTTTTCTTGCAACTGTATGCAGTAGGACACACAATGTATTCACAAATTCCCTGGCCAGTACGCAAAGCAGTTTTTCTATTCTAGGCATATCTTTCTTGGTGGTTATTTTGTTTATTACATGGACCAGTCATGCTGTTTTTTGTGCTATATGCATGGTGTTTTTAACCATTTTGTAGTCATTTTTTTAAATTTTAGTAAATTATTTCTTTGATTTGGGTGTCCATTAAAGTCTTGATTTTTTGCCTGTAACTTTCTATATATTTGAATCTGGGATGTGGCACCATATTTAACTACTTGCCGACCGCAGATAGCCGAATGACGGATGCACTGCGGCCGGCCAGTTCTGGGTGGATGTCATATCGTGTCCTCTCCTCCCAGAATGCGCTCTCCTGCGCGCGCCCCCGGGGGCACGCACCGGCGATCTCCGTGATCGCTGTGTCCTACGGACACAGCTGATCATGTGACGTGGTAAAAGGCCAATCACAGCGGCCTTTTACCACGTGATCAGCCATGTCCAATGACACGCTGATCACAGGGAAATGCAATTGCCAGTTCTCGGCTTTCCTCGCACTGTCAGATCGTGAGGAAAGTACTGCCGAAAACCGGCAGTTGTCAGAGCAGGGATCAGCACCGATCATCCGTGCCCTGATGATCGGTGCCCAGCAGTGCGCCCACCTGTGCCACCCAGCAGTGTCACCATCTGTGCCCACCAGTGCCACCCACTTGTGCCCACCAGTGCCGCCCAGCAGTGCTGCCAGTCAGTGCCACCAGTCAGTGCCCAGCAGTGATGCCATTCAGTGCCACCTATCAGTGCTGTCTATCAGTACCCATTATCAGTGTCGCCTCTCAGTGCCACCAATCAGTGCCGCCTATCCGTGACACCTCATTAGTGCTGCCTATCAGTGCCACCTATCCGTGCCACCTCATTAGTGCCGCCTATCAGTGCCATCAGTGTGCTGCCTCATCAATGCACATCAGTGAAGGAGAAAAATTACCTGTTTGAAAAATTTTATAATAGAAACAAAGAAACTTTTTTCAAATTTTTTTGCAATTTTTTTGCTTATAGCGCAAAAAGTAAAGCGCCCAGCGGCGATTAAATACCACCAAAATAAAGCTCTATTTGTGAGAAAAAAATGATAAAAATTTCATATGGGTACAATCTTGCATGACTGCGCAATTGTCATTCAGACTATGAGAGCGCTGAAAGCTGAAAATTGGCCTGGTAAAGAAGGGGGTATAAGTGCCCGGTAGGCAAGTGGTTAATCAGATTGGGCATTAACCAAAACCAGAGCAGTTTTTCAGTGGTGCAAATGCAAATGTTGCATGTATGTATTCACAAAGGAAAATTCTTTCTATTCATCCACATCTACCATTATTGCCAGTTGTGCATTTGACCTTATTTCCTGGTGTTTTCTTTGCCATTTGGCATTCAGTATGTCCCTTCTGATGGTAATATGTTACATTCACCCATATTTTGTTAATTCTGCCAATACTTTTATAGAGTCTCGATGTTATCCCATTTTTATAGCTCTTAAATCTTCTGTCTTTTTTTTCTATTTGAGCTCATTGCAACCATTTCAAAGTGGGCTAATGATAGAGACTTGCATACCTCCCAGTCTACAGTAGTTGCAAACATATTGGCATTGTTTCATCTCCCATAGATTTTGTAAGCCGTGCATACAACTGAATGTGGCCATGAGTTATAGCAATAAGATATCCTCTTAATAAACAGTCCAGCTCACAGCTACACAGCGATATGCCAGTACATGCAAGATGTTATCCTCACATATTGCTCTTAATATGCTTCATCAGGATGTATTCTGATCTGGTATATTTGTGTTTTTCAATGTATTTAACACTGAAGCACACTCCAATCCACTTCATATCAAATGCTTTGTGCATGGAAACAACGGCCTAAGGTCATAAATTAGACAGATGATTCCCTAGTTGACATACACAAATCTATTTCAGGGATTTTCCAGTCTTGACAATCTTACAGTTGCCTATCAAGTACATGCTTCTAGCAAGGAAGGCAGCTTTTTGGGGTGTGCTTTTGTGGCTGGTAGGTGGGGCCTCCAATATTTTCCTAGTACAAAATAATTGGCTCTGGTTTCACTCCGAGCAGTAAGTTGACTATAAGCTATATGTACCATGATTGCCAATTTTCACAGCAGCCATTTATAATATCAGACACCGTCCCCCATCAGGTCCACATGTGTTTGTGGTATCTTCGGTCCGCCTGTACTTTCTCATAATTGGATTGGAATGTAGGGATATGTCGTGATAACGGCTTGTTTGTATTATGGTGTGACTAAGGTTAGTGTTTCCTTTGTACTCCATGTTTTAAAAAAAGAGCTTGTTTAGTGGCTTGAAACATTGCACACATCTTCTTAAATTGGTTTTAGTCTGTCAGATAATGGTGGCACCATATCAATTCTGGATTTACCATTAGAAGCTATAAACCTGTGCTTAGAGATGGCAAAAAGTTAAAAAAGGGACTTTCTCTTTGTAGTCATTGTTCATACATTTTTCCCCCATCATAGGCAGAGATGCAGTCATCTTATATAAACATATAAAACGGTTGCTTTATTATCAAAATCCAGGTTAGGGCCAGTTAAAGAAGAAAATCTTCTTTACAAGAGGTGACTTGGCAGTGGGGTGTAGTTTTGGGCACCAAACCTGGTGTGCCTTCAGTTTCCAGTGATGGAAAGCTCTCCCTGCACTGAAAATTCAAGTATTAAAGAAGCCACAATAATAGTTTGCTCCAAGTATGTGCATGAATGTCAATTATACACTGTGTTGAGAACATAATGTTTCACTAAGAAATTCTTCATTTTCTATGGAATCGCTAACTTTGTGTTGTCGGCAAAATTGCCAGTGACAGTTGCTCCTCCTTTACCTCTGTGGCTTAGCTAGAACCCATTGAAGGAGAGCAAATTTGTAGCTGAACACTATCGAGTGCTGTAGCACTATCGCCACTGACTTGTTAAATTGTTAGCTGCAAATTGCTGTTACTCTCATTAGCAATTTGTAGCAGTGACTAATCTTAGCTACAAAATTGCTAATTTGATATCAACCTTTTTTGAGTAAATATGACTATTTGCTTAATTTGCAAATCTGGACCGTTCTAGTTAAAGTAGAAGTTCACCCAAAACTTGCAGTCTACTTGCAGCCACATTCTAAAACTAATCTATCTAGCCCTATCAAGAAGAATTGCTATGCATACCTTTTCTGAAGTCGATCCGGTCTGGTCTCCAGCAGCGGATGCTGTGTGCAGGAGAGAACTGACAAGACTGTGAAATGTCTGGGAGATGACATCACCCATAGATTTGCTATGGAGGTTCAATTTTCAGCTGTCTCTTGAACAGGCCTACACAGTGAAGCCGCCGCTGACAGCTCAGCGTGGGACCGGACCAGAGCGGCTGCAGAACAGGTATGTATAGTGATTTCTTCTTTACAGTGCTAGATAGATTAGTTTTCGAATATGGTTGTGAATAGGTTTAGAGTTAGGTTTTGGGTGAACTACTTTAAAGATCATTGTACAAGATTTCGAAGCACAAAACACATTTTAAGATAAGGTTTCACTGATAAAAGGCTCTAAACTTGCTCTGCTTTATAAGGTTAATCATTGATGTTATATGTTCAGTATTCTACTTGCAGCTTAAAAGTAATGTATGCATTTTGCAAGAGCAAGGTCTCACAACCAGCAGCCTTTTATTCTCCTTGATGGCATTTCATGTCTGAATCTCCAGTCTAAGCCAGTGGAGCCTGCAGTTGATGGAGGTGCCCAGGTGCAGCAAGTGGTCAACATTGAGTGGTGCAGGAGTTTGTGGAAGCCCCGGTCCTCAACATCCAGTTTAGGTATGGCCAACCTCTGATTTCTGTTGTGAAGGCCCCAGTCTTCAACAACCATTTCAGGTATGCTTCTCCTATTATTTCTGTTATGGAGGCTGCCATCCTCCACATCCTATGCTGTTCCTTAGTTTTGTTGTATAACAATGTCACGTGTTGCAGGACTTTTGTTGTACTGTATCATCCCATGATACTATTCAGTTTCAGCGTGATTGTTATTTCTTTCCTATACAATTAGCAGAGTATAAAAATATAAAGGTGGTAATAAATTCATATTGTGAATGAATACTCTTCATGTACAGAATACAGTACATAGTGTTTAAAGTGGAGTTAAACCTAAAAAAAAAAAAAAAAAAAAAAAGTCAGCAGCTGCAAAAACAGTCACTTACCTGTCCCTCGGTCGAGCAGTGTCCTCACCACGGCTGGTTTCACAGGCCGCCTTCTCTCCCTGGCGCCGGCATCTTCAGTGTGGGCACCCCCCGTCTGTGACAGCTTGCGGCTTCACATCTGGATGCCCACTGCGCATGCGCGAGAAGCATTGCGCTTTGTGAATGGCCCTGTAGTCTTCTGGGACCTGTCACATTGAGGGAGGGGGGAGGACAACTTCCGCTTCCGAAATTTGGGTACCCGCTCCCCAAAGGTGCCAATCCTAATGGGGAGCGGGGGACAAAGACTTAAAGCGTAACTTCCCCTTTTGGGTGGACCTCTGCTTTAAACAAAGGTTTTGACCCCCTTGATCTCAAGACATGTTTTGCTGATTTTCTCAAAATACAGGCACTGTAGGGACCAGGTTTATAATTTGTTCTTGCAAAATTTTATGCACAGTTCAGTTAATTATCGGGTTTAACAGAAACATAAATTAAAAATATCACAGAAAATGTGCAAAGTTTTGGGCGCCCTGTCAGTATTTTTAAATTCCCCCCAGCAACAAAAACACAGTTTGCAGCCATTTCTTATGACCCACAGTATTCTCCTTCCTGTATGAACTTCCCACTTTCTTTGGTAATCACTCCTATAAGTATATACTTTAAGTAGAACGCAAGGCAAAACTGTTTTTCATTTTAGGTACGGAGGGTAATAGCCCATAACCGCTTTTATGCCATATCTGTCCCGTTGGGGAGATTTTCCTTTACTTCCTGTCCCAGGGCCAAAACAGGGAGTGAGGAAATTCCTCCAAAGAGTGTCACCAGTGTCCCCGTTGCAAGATTTGCTTTCTTCTTTTTTGTTCTGGTGTCAACCCAATATTTGGGATTACAGTATAATAGAAAACAAGACAGAGATGGTAAATCTTAACAGGGCCACAGACAACAATAAAAGTCTGAAGAGTTCTAATCCCTCTCCACTCTATCCAAGACTGAAAAAGAAAGTTTTGTCTTAGTTATACTTTATTATTTTAATCAACAAAAATAAATTTTAAAATTACTTTAAACATGTTATACTTGCCTGCTCTGTGCAATTGTATTGCACAGCGTGGCCTTGAACCTCCTCTTGGGTTCCCTGCTCTGGACGTGTCCTCTTCTGGGTGCACCACCATAGGAAGCCACTTCCTATGGGGGGAGTACACCTGTGGGCTCAATTCTGAGCCAGGCTGTGTTAGTCTACTGGGGCTCAGCTCCATCCCCTGCTCTCAGTTCACAGGATTGGATTGACAGCAGGATTAGCCAATGGCTCTCACTGCTGCCTCGGAGAGAGAGAGAAATGCTGCAGACAGGCACAGTGCTGGATTGAGATCAGGCTCAAAAAAGTATGCAGGGGCATAAGGGGGCGATACAAATACAGGGACATTTGTACCATTGAGCATTCCCTGCATTGCAAATGTCCATCCTTTAGAACCACTTCAGGTTGTGTTACGTGCATGGATTGTATGGCTTACATCTGCTAACAGATTTAAAGTGCTTCTAAAGACCACACATTTGTTTACCTTAATGCATTCCTTGCATTAGGTAACAACCTTTTTCAGGTTAAAGTATAACCCCCTCATCCAAACTCTAATACTTACCTGAGCCCTCACTCAATCCAGCGCTGTGGCCGTCTGCATTGACTATCCTCTTCTCCCCGCTCACAGGCTTTTCTGACAGCAGTGGGAGTTATTGGTGTTGGGAGTGCAGCTGTCCAGGATTTGCACTGTCTGCTGTGCAGTTTGCAAGCTTGTGAGCACCCACTTGGCAGGTGTGTGGGGTGTGGATAGCATGGACTGACCTGGAGCAGCGGTTCTTCAGCCATTGGTTCTCGCTTCTGTCAGTCAAATTCTGTGACGAGGAAGCAGGGGGCAGGGAGACGCCACACTGTCTTTGTCAATGGTCAAAGGCAGTGCTGCTCAGGATTCTAATCTAGTCCAAATGTCATTTCCAGACCTGAATCTTAAAATGACTGTAAAGTCTTATTTGTTATTTTGAAAAAATAGAATTTAAGTTTATACCAATTTGCTCTGTGCAATGCTGATCCTTCTCTTCTGGGATCTCCTGCCAGTGTTCCTGGCTCCTCCTCTTCTTGGTGTGTCACCATAGGAATCTTCCTAGTGAGCCTATTGTGGCACACCTGCATGCTGAATCCTGAGCAGCACTGCCTTTGACCATTGACAAAGACAGTGTGGCGTCTCCCTGCCCCCTGCTTCCTCGTCACAGAATTTGACTGACAGAAGCGAGAACCAATGGCTGAAGAACCGCTGCTCCAGGTCAGTCCATGCTATCCACACCCCACACACCTGCCAAGTGGGTGCTCACCAAGCTTGCAAACTGCACAGCAGACAGTGCAAATCCTGGACAGCTGCACTCCCAACACCAATTACTCCCACTGCTGTCAGAAAAGCCTGTGAGCGGGGAGAAGAGGATAGTCAATGCAGACGGCCACAGCGCTGGATTGAGTGAGGGCTCAGGTAAGTATTAGAGTTGGATGAGGGGGTTATACTTTAACCTGAAAAAGGTTGTTACCTAATGCAAGGAATGCATTAAGGTAAACAAATGTTTGGTCTTTAGAACCACTTTAAATTGTAACTAAAGCCAAAACTTCTTTTTTTTTTTTTTTTGATAGAGTGGAATTGAATTAGAACAACTGTCAGTTATTGCTATCTGTGTCCCTGTTACGGAGAGTCATCCTTTCTATTTGTTATGTTTACTGTTCCCAAAAGTGAAAGTAAAAGAAAATCCCACATTTTGGGTTGACACTGGAATGGTAATAAAGGAAATATTTCAGGGGGGACCCTAGTTCTGGTGACCCTAGGACTTCCTCACTTTGGAGGGATTTTCTCTCACTTCAAATTTTGGCTATGGAACAGGATGTGAAGGGAAATCTCCCCAATAGGACAAAGATGGCAAGGAGAACTGACATGGGTTATAAACCTTCCTTGATCTGTCCAAGATTAAAAACAAGAAAAGTTTTCCATTTAGTTACACTTTAATATTGTCCGTTCATGGTTAATGGATCATTCCTTAGAATATCCAACTCCTTTCACCATCCGTTTCTTCCTTGTCTTTATAGGAACAATGGCGATACTATAGAAAGTAAGGTAAATACATCGTAGTCTTGATAAAGGGAGACTATTCCTGAAGCGTCAGATGTGTGACACCAGTTGTCAAGCACTCAAAGTATTTACAGAGTGCTGGTATTTACTGCACTGTCTGAAGAGTGAGGAAAGACATGTCCTACAAGGCAGAGCATACCATTGTGTATGAAATTACAGGGGTAGTTGTAATACCAATAATACATATAATAGTACAAGGGTGTTATTAGACATTTTAGGGGTGCCAAGATTAAGGCAGTTGATGTGGGGAGGACGTTTTTCAACATGTCATTATAGGGGATGTTGGAGTGTAAAACAGCTTGACTCTGCAAACTTCCCCAACTTAAAGAACCCAAAGTGGTGTTGAATGTACATCTAGCAAGTGTTTCCTAATGTGGACCTTTAATCTCCATGTCATCTGAAGCTCTGTGCACGACAACCACCTCCGCAATATGAATTTGCACTTTTTTTTTTACACTAGTCCTGGCCTTGCCCACCAACTGCTATTCTTGCCTAGGCAGGAATGGTGTGTCCCTGCTCTCTCAGCCTCCTGAAATTCCACGTCACATATCCCAGGAGGCTGCAGAAGTAGAGAATAATACCGGATAGGGGACGGAGCTGTGGGTAATCATCAGAGGCAGCAGGTATCTGATGACTGAGGATGACCACGATGGCGGCGCAGGACCTGGGCTGCTGCACATCAGCACATCACTGCAAGACAACACTGGATCTGCTGAGCAGGTGAGTATCTGAATCCAGGACAACGCTGCATAACAGATAAGTGAAGCTAAAAAAAAAAGAAAAAAAATGGGGGAGCACCTGAAGTTTCTCTGTAAATAGTCCTAAGCTGTGACTATGACTGTCTGGGCTTTTATGGAATATTGCACTATTTTTTTACAGCCCGACAAAACACAGTATCCATTGTCCAGCCTGGGGGGTATAATACTAACTTACAACAAACATGGTATTTTAGTTAAATCTGCTGTTTGTTTTCTATAGGTACGGAGGTGCTTTCCAAAACTTCTCCGTAAAGCTGCCCATCACTATCAATAAATTCTTTCAACCAACTGAGATGGAAGGCCAAGATTTTTTTCAGCGCTGGAAACAGCTCAGTGGGTAATGTTGATTTTGTTACTACATCATTTGAGTAATGTCAGGTCGCTGAACAGCACATCCATGATTAACTAGATGGATAATTACAGCATTCTGTTGAAATTATATGTAGCTAGGCTTCGTCAGCATGAGGTGTGATAAACCGAGAACATCATTTCAAGAGGCTTAGTTCTTTCTTTCCCACTCTCTAAAATCAGCACACAGTGCTCTGCACTTAACAAGGGGTACTAGTTACATTATTGTACTTGTCTGCATGTGTCACTCTGGACCTCTGTGGACAAATTCTGGTGGAGCCAGTTTTAAACGTGATTACTGTCTCAGTAGATTATAACAGCAAATAGACATAAGAAGGCTTCCAAAATCTACCTGTCAGAGTGGTATAAAAGATACTTTATTAATTCCAAAAGAGTGTTCTCACCAGAAGGGGCATAAATATCAATGAAAAGATATGGTGCCAACACAAACCTTCAAGATCGTTTTGTAATGACCTGCACAGGAATAAACCCAATCAATATTAACATCTTTACAGTATGTCCAAATACAATATTGAGCCCATGAGTATTATGTAGTTAGTCCATAGAAAAGTAATCATTTTTTCTCAAATGTCATTTGTACTGACATCATTATTGAACAACTTTGTTGAAACAGATTCCTTTGTAGTATTATAGAGACCTGAAGCAAAAATTGTATCCACTTTTATTAGGCTAATGTCTTGTATAAAGTAGACAATGGACCATAATTTCAAATCAAAACACTGAGAATTCCACACTTCTACCTGTACTAGTTTACATGAAGTCTATAGCAGATTATCACTGTTGCTGTACAGACCTGGTAATCCTCATGTTGGATTTGTCTACATATACTCAAATCACAATAGGGATAAAGCAAAGGATAGCTACACAATGTCAGAATCAAATGAAACACTTACTTTCAGGATAATTTCAATAAATGTCACATGTAGCCATCAAAACAGGGCCAATAAGTAGCAGCTCTGGTTCCATTAACACGTCATTTTCAATCCTGGTTATGATTACTTATAGGGCTTACACAGTGGTAATTTCCATAGATTCAGTAATTACCTTAGAAAAACAAGAAACATCTCTCTAGATGATAGAATTCTCCAGAAATTACAAAGTATAAATCCTAATGGTACAGGACACAGTACTTGTATTCATAGAACTTGCATTATATGCAGGCTGTATTCAGGTGACTGGATATTGGAAATAAAACTTGCTAGGGCAACAGCACGCCTATATAATTCCACCAACTTTGTGAGACTCCAGGTTTCTTTTTTTTTTTTTTTGCTAGAGTCTTTAGGTGATGGACCTGTTCTCCCCTGGAGAAGTATTTTTTCTTTATACTATTTTTTTTTTTTCTCTGAAGCTGCTATCATAATCTGACTGCTTACTGCCCAGGGCTATCTAGTAGTTTCCAAATCGGTGAAGTGTGTACCATGGGGAATGTACTCGAACCACATTGTGTGCCTCTGGCACTGGATCCTGCATTAGGCGCTCACCTTGCCATGTAGTTAGCTGGAGAGTGCTATAAAGATGCAGGGCCGTGGTCCATTTCTGTGGTTCCCAGACCCTGAAAACTCTTTTGTGGGGTATGCCCACCATGATGGGCATAACCTGGACCCTTAGTAGGCCCAGCCTTGTGGATAAGGTAAGACAGGGTTTCCCTGTACATTAGCTCAGTTCCTGGCTTTTGATAACACAATCCAGAGTATTTAGCACATTATGCAATTTTATAGACTGAGTCTTTGGGAGGTATTCACTTTTTATTTTGGATAACCCCTGCCATTTTTTGCCTTTCTTTTCTTGCCAATTCTGTGTGAGCATTTTAAAATTGGTGGGTTTTTTTTCTCTTCTGATCTATATTTAATCTCAGGAGGATAAGGTAACTTTGATTTGCTGCTTGTATGACGCATTTCCGCCTTTTCCACTCAAAATGCACACAGCACACCTCTACACATCTGACTCCATATTCTACAGAGACACAGGAACGCAGTCAGCACCTGGATAGAGGCTCTTATATTCGGTTACGCAAAGCCCTATCTATTCCGCTATTACTCCTGTGGGTCACTTAGGTACCTTACACTTGTGATCTGCCACTGCTAAGAAAAAAGGGCTAAATACCATGCATTTTGCAGAAGGCCTACAAGAAACTCAAACCACTCTGTGACAGTGTTTCCTTGTCCCAGAGCAATGTCTTATTATGACAAAGCTCCCTTTAGCTAACTCTAGATCTCTTTTAGGCACATACCACATGACCTGTGTGCCACTGTCTGGATTCTGTGGAAAATCCTTATGTTCCTAACACATTACCCAGTCCATATCAGTATAGATATCTAGCATATTTTACGCATCTCCCCCCCCCCCCTTCACACAGAAACATGGCTGAGACTGTCAATCACAGGTTGTGTGCAGGAGAATCCCTCCCCATCACCTTTTTATTGCAGTCAGGAAAACGTCAGACATGATTCACGCTAATAGCTGAGGAATAAAGCTGCAGACAAAAATGGCACTTAGTGCACTTAATTGAGAGAAGTACACACTGTACAAGGATATGCTTTGTTTGTAAACCTCAGACATGAAATATGAACACTTTAAATGACAGGCTTGTGCCTTATACATTCAACCTCATGTGTCACCTTGGGATCTCAACTCGGCACCCTCTGTACTTCAGAGACCTTCCTTTGAACTAAAGTGGTTTTGAGACCAAAATCTTCCTTCCTATGTAAGGTGGTCTTTTTTTTTTTTTTTTTTTCTTTCCCCCCTAAGTGAGAACATAGTTTTAATTTTTTCCTTTTTGTCCTGCCCCAAAACATGAAAGGGAAATTGCCCTACATTTCCTGGATGTGGTCAAGGCTGTCAGGGTCTACCTGGTAGCCAGTGTCAATATTCACAAGATGGAGTTCCTTTTTGGCCTGTCTTTGGACCCTCGTAAAGGGAATCCTACCACCATTACCAGATGGATCAGGCAACTCATCTGTAGGGCCTATGCTATCAGAGCCCGTTCCATCAGGGCTGTTTGTGTCTCTTGGGATTTTGAGCATTTTTGGGATAACACTACAACAAAGAGGAAGGAAAAAATGTCACCAGCACACCGAGGATCACCAATATGGGTCCAAAGGTTTTAATAAACCATCACATAGTTACAGCAAGGCAACGTTTCGGAGTCTCGCAGGACCCCTTCATCAGGCATGTTGGTCACATGCCTGATGAAGGGGTCCTGCGAGACTCCGAAACGTTGCCTTGCTGTAACTATGTGATGGTTTATTAAAACCTTTGGACCCATATTGGTGATCCTCGGTGTGCTGGTGACATTTTTTCCTTGCTGATTCTGTTCGGTTCCAGCCGACGGTCACTGCAGCACCCACTCATACACACAGCCATTTTTAACGCAGGAACGTGTGCGTTTGGATCATACACTTGCATTTAACACTACAACAAAGCCTCCACCTGGTCCTCTGTTCGCAAGTTCTCCAAATTCAAGCTGTCATCTGAATAGTTTTGTTTGGGTTCTTTGACCCTTGCTTTTATTGCCTACTTGTTGGCAGTACTGTTTCCTATGTTAACCACCCACCTCTCAGTTTGTTTGGGTATGTCCCGTGATCTATGAATACAAGTCCTGCACTGTACAATTAAGATACACTATATTGCCAAAAGTATTGGGATGTTTGCCTTTACACGCACATGAATTTTAATGGCATCCCAGTCTTAGTCCGTAGAGTTCAGTATTGCGTTGGCCCGCCCTTTGCTGCTGTAACAGCTTCAACTCTTCTGGGAAGGCTGTCCACAAGGTTTAGGAGTGTGTCTATGGAAATGTTTGACCATTCTTCCAGAAACACATTTGGGAGGTCTGGCACTGATGTCGGACGAGAAGGCCTGGCTCACAGTCTCTGCTCTAATTCATCCCAAAGGTGTTCTATCGGGTTGAGGTCAGGACTCTGTGCAGACCAGTCAAGTTCCTCCACCCAAAACACGCTCATCTATATCTTTATGGACCTTGCTTTGTGCACTGGTGTGCAGTCATGTTGGACCAGGATGGGGACATCCCCAAACTATTCTCACAAAGTTGGGAGCATGAAATTGTCCAAAATATCTTGGTATGCTGATGCCTTAAGAGTTCCAATCACTACAACGAAGGGGCCAATCCAAAACCCTGAAAAACTATCCCACACCATAATTCCCCCTCTACCAAACTTTACACTTGGCACAATGCCGGCAGGAAAATGCCATTCTCCTGGCAACTGCCAAACCCAGACACGTCTATCGGATTGCCAGACATTGAAGCGTGATTCATCATTCCAGAGAACACGTCTCCACTGCTGTAGAGTCCAGTGGCAGTATGCTTTACACCACTTCATCTGATGCTTTGCATTGCACTTGGTGATGTAAGGCTTGGATGCAGCTGCTGGGCCATGGAAACCCATTCCAAGAAGCTCTCTACGCACTGTTGTTGTGCTAATCTGAAGGCTACATGAAGTTTGGAGCTTTTTAGCTTTTTATTGACTCTGCAGAAAGTTGGCGACTTCAGCCCACTGTGCACTTCAGCATGTGCTGACCCTGCTCTGTCATTTTTACGTGGCCTACCACTTCGTAAATGAGTTGCTGTTGTTCCCAGTTGCTTCCTCTTTGTTATAATACCACTAACAGTTGACTGTGGAATGTTTAGCAGCAAGGAAATGTCACGGGGATGGTCTTATTGCACAGGTGGCAACCTATCACGGTACCACGCTTGAATTCACTGAGCTCCTGAGAGCGACCCATTCTTTCACAAATGTTTGTAGAAGCAGTCTGCATGCCTAGGTGCTTGATTTTATACACTGTGGCCATGGAGGTGATTGGAACACCTGAATCCAATGATTTGGAGGGGCACACATGGCTGGCGATACGGCAGAATAGCTGGCCCTCTTGTATGAGCTCCGGGCACCTGACCTGACCAGGAGGGCTGACTTTACTGCCTTATTGCTGAACTGATCTTCATGTGTCCAACAACCACCCCCCCCCCCCCCCCCCCCCCCCCGAAGCAAAGTCACCTTCTTTCCTGCTGGCTGCTGCAAGGGGAGCCAAAGGAGAAAGGAGTTTGTTTTCAGTGTTTTTGTATTTGTGCCCCCCCTTGTGCTGCTTCGCTTTCCTCGTGTAATACCCAGCTTCAGGCAGCTCCAGCCACATAAACCACTGATTCACGCTGTGCTGGCCATAGTGCCCATATGAATGAGCCCCACAACCTCATTCACACACCGCTTTGTTAATTCAGTGCAGTTTTATCTTTTAGACAAAGATTTAGAATTGTGGAAGTTATGTTGTGTTTGTGTCTGCTAATAGTGGTTTTAGTGTATTTTTAGTAAAATTATTCTTTTCGGCGGGGAGGGGAGAGGCCCTGTCATGTAAGGTAGAGTGTGTGTACACAAAATGTACACACACGCATTAGTTTCGAAAATGTTAGTTTAGGAGGTTTTCATTAATTTTTTGTTTTATTAGATTGATTCTTTTTTTGACTGGATCATAATATATAATCGAGATGGTTAATATGTCTTTGTAGTTAATGAAATGATACTTTACTGTATTTAATGACAATCTTTGCCTTCTGGAAGATGGTAATACAACAAACAGGCTTCCAGAAAAATGGCATACTGCAATTTGTGACCTAAAGAAATCTACAAAATGGCTAGATAGTCAACATTCCACTCGGATTACTCTTATACAGTGTAATTGATTTTTCATTTCTAAATTATTTGCTTGGACATTTATAGAAAAAAAAACTTCCATAAATGTTTTTCTTTATGAATATACCACATGTACATGTTTTACCTGGCCATTTACACCTTTTCAAATAGTTTACACAATAATATTTGCTAAACTACCTGTTCCTTGCTCAACACTTTGTGTACTATTTTGTTGCTCCTGCAGGCCCAAGCAAGAGGTTCAGAACATTTTCAAGGCAAAGCATCCGATGGACATTGAAATCACTAAAGCAAAGGTTGGTGCCCTACACCATATTGAAATACATCATCAAGAAGCCGTGAGGGTTGGGGTTGGTTTTGCTTTAATTCTCTTAAGAATCTAAAGCTGAAACTATATATTTTGGATGTATTTCATAGTATACAGATAAAACAATTCCCAATCTATTGTGTAACTTGGGTGATTGGTAATACCAGCTCTTAGCCTGTAGATGGCACTGCTGGGTGCCATAAAATGCAAAATCTGTAAGTTTAGAAAGTAATGGGTTTTTTAAATCAAAGCAGGAGATCCCAGTGCAGGGTCTCAGGGCAAAGGAATTCCAGTGAAGATTAGATAACTTTGTTTAAAGAGACTGTCACTAAGGAGGGGGTAAACTGCTGCAGATATGAATTGCAGGCATCTAAAGTTGCCTGCTCGTACCTGCAGCAGCCTCCCAAAGCCTTCTGTTATGACCATATTTTAGGTTAAATAAGTTCACCTTTTAATATAAAAAATACTTTTTTGTTTTTTTTGCAGTTTTTTTTTGTTTTAGGAACCTGGAAAGCAGTGCACCAGTGTTAAGCAGATTGCTGGTGACATGCAGGTCTCCTGCAGACTGTCAATGTAGTCTGTCTGCTCATATCTCGTACAAGCAGGCAGTTTTACACTGATAGCAAGAATCTGTGAACTACCACAGTACTCAGCAACACAATGGTAGTTCATTGAGAGCTACAGACAGCCGCAAAGTTTCCCATTCACAGAACTCTGTGAATAAATGATGCAGCCAGGGAGGCAGAGCCCCGCACAGCTGCGTGTTTTTTTTTTTTTTTTTTAATTGTGCCAGCTAATGGGGGGAAGAAGATCCCCAGCTAGCTGTTACACACACCGGGGATTGGGGGGGTGTGAGAGCCGGTCGTACAGTAACATTTTACACCCTGAATATAGGTGTAACATGTTATGAAAGGTGAACTTATTCTTTAAGCTTTGGCATTTCCTGATGGTGCTGTAGCTTGCCTGCCTCCTGTGTATTCCTGTTAGGAATGTGTGGGAGCTGGGGTTAGTGGTCACAAGGGCCAAGGTTTGGGAGACTGCCGCAGACACCCATAGGTGTCTTTATATCATACCTGCTGTAGCAATTTGGGGTTACAAAGAGGTTTGATGTGGGGACTGCAGGAGGGGTTAGTGGAAGAAAAGTTAGTATGAGGGATGCCTTAGGTTAGGGCTTTGGTGTTTAGGCTGAAAGCTGCCAGCACCAATTTCAAGCTAGCGAAAACTAAATCTTATGCCATAGATGGCAGTTAGAATTGTGCATAGGTATGGTGTGTAACATCTCTTTTGTTAACCTGTCAGCTCATTGGATTTGGACCTGCCCTTTTGGAAAATGTTGATCCAAACCCGTCCAACTTTGTGGCAGCTGGAATTATCCAAGCAAAATCCCGACAGGTGGGATGCCTGCTACGCCTCGAACCTAATGTGCAGGCACAGGTGAGTGATCTTAGGAGAGCTTGATGGCTGGTAATGGTCCTTATGGAATCTTCAAAAAAACTGTTGTCTAATTTTCCTGTGTAAAATAATTATAGCATATGCTCTGTTGCTTTTTCACTAGTGTAGCTGCCATTGTGGGCATGTTTTTCCAGGTGCAACCTCTTAGTTTGCCATCCTTGCTATTGTACTTAGTAACTGATCGGAAACATGCAGGAGTTAGGCATGCTAACAGCTGATATGCCGATGAGTGTGCCAGGTCAGTGACTTTCCAAGTAGAGAAGGATGGATAAAGACTACAGGCACAGAGTTTTAGAAAAAACAAGTCCACAACAGCTGCTATATATCTATACTGATGGAAAATAATACCGAAGATTACTAGCAATGTTTTTTTTGCCCATACAGATGTACCGGCTCACCATCCGCACAAGTAAAGAGGAGGTTTCCCAGAGACTGTGTGACCTGCTCTCTGAGCAATTTTAGACCTCAATCACTTTGGTTCCAGAACCCATGTCTGTGATCTTCCCTTACTGCCAGTTCCTTATCTCAGTGAAAATAAATATTCCTTACACATTGTCTGTTTATCTTTCTTCATCTCATCCAGAATTCTACATGTTTAATTGTTGCATTAGCTGGCTGTTATAAAGACTGGCAGCAGAGCTTTAGGTGGAGAAAAGATGACGGTTAATATGAAACTATAATCAGCGAATGATTTAAAGCAGAACTAGACTTGAACAACTTTATTCTTCAGATAAGTAATTTGTGAATGATCGTGTTTACCGTAGGCATTCTGCGACTTCAGTTTTACCTAGTCCCGTTTTTTTTTTTTTTTTTGCATCCAGTCCACATTGCCTCTGCAGAATGGCTAATCCTATTCCTAGACCCTGCCCTCTGATGGCACCATCAGAGTAATCCAGAAATCATAAGCAGGAGTTAGCGGGATATGCCTCTAAAGGTTTCAAACCCCCAATGGGCTTCAAGAACGCAACCATGGTTGTTTAAGGATTATAGAGCACTGCTGTTCTCCTATTTGGAATCTAAAGTATATTTAAACCTACATACAAAAATTAAATAAAGGTTCTTTGTGCTTTAAACATACATGAAATGACATATACACTGCATTTCTGGCAAGCTCAACAGGTATTCCTATTATTTCATTGGAGGACACAACTCTGCTTTAGTTAACCATTTTGGTATGTTGCCATCTGCAGGAGTAGCTTGTTAGGTGCAACTGAAAAGTAAAGACAGCCTACCTGGTCTATTTTCTGCTATCACTCCTTTAATGTTTCTATCAAAAAAAGTAAACAAAAAACCAAATACATGTATAAATGAAAAAAGAAAAAAATGGGGCAGACTCGATGGACTACTTGGTATTTTTATGCCATCACAACTTCTTTGGTTCTATCAAACATAGGTCTATACCCAGGGGGTGTTCCCCTCTGGAGGCCAAACCTGCTCCACAGCTGTGAACAACTCGGTTGTTAGACTAGTGTCTAGTAGTTAGAACATAGAATTTTCCTCTTGGAAATTTGGAGTTTCTCTATACTTCAGGTAGGTCACAGGCTGCAGCCATTAAACACAAATGTTCCTGCCATGTGCAGTTTCAGCTTCAACAGCCCAGTATTCTTTTGGGCAGCCTCTGGGGTTTCTGCTCTTTTGAGGTGCACATGATGGGCCAGCCTGGTGATGTGTCAGTGTCCTTGTTCACATCAGCTTCAGATGGTGAATGGCTGTGGCTCGTGGAAAATTACTTGGCAAATGTGCGGCGAGTAGCGATTTATGCCCATTGCTTTCTCTATTTTTTTTGTGCTGGAGATAAAATGTATGGAGTGCAAAGAGTCTCCAGAGTTCCCCTTTAAAAGGGAAAATGCCTCAAAAATACAATGATCAGACAGTAGCATTTAAGAGACCTTGAATGACAGAGGAGCTTTGGATGTGTTTTATTTTAGGAAAATCCTGCCCTGTATATTGACAGCTGCATGCTCCCACAGGAAGTCGCAACCCATTACCAAAACTCGCTTTTGCCGAGGGCTGTGGCTTCTGCTACTTCCACAGCTGCTGTGTTAGTACTCAGGGCAGAAACCTTGTATAGTCTGCCAAGGGAAGGTCAGTCCCTGCACAGAGCATGCTCTGCTTAGTGTGTGTTGTTGATGCATACAGCCTTCCTGCTTAGGCTTCAGAGAATGCTTTAGGCTTAAAGAGTGGCTGCACTCTACCTTTACTCTGCTGCTAGCCAAGTGGTTGCTTACTGCTAGGATCGGGACTGTGGGCCTTTGGGACTCTGAGTATATCCCTGCTGGAGGGTTAATCCTGAACTGTTATCGCTTAGTGGCATTCAGAGTGACACCTAAGAAGGGGTTCAGGTCTCCCTGGGGGGTCCTGCAGGACAGTAATCTTTTTCTCCACATGTGGTATGGTAGGTAATGCAAGAGACTGCAGGAGAGGCTGTCAATCATAATGGAAGGGTTATATGCTGCTTCTTCATGTGATTGGACAACGACACTCCAAGCTTTAACACTCCCTCATATAACCCCTCCTACCATGTGATTGGCAGTTTTTTTGCTGGTGTTCTTATGTGATGGTTGATGGAAGGGAAATGATGGTTCTTAGTAAGTACAGTGATCTTGTCTATGAAGACAAACTGCACCAGGCTACTGTTGCAGAGGGTATCAGTTTTCTGGATCAATGCCTTTCGGCTTTGTGCTGCAGAGACTGTACCCAGACCCCACGAGAAGATAGCAGGATTGGCCAGTAATGCTGTGACTGCACCGGACCTGGCTAACAGGCATTGATCCTGATACAGCACATTCATCACTATACTATACTATACAGATCCAAGGCAGAGGTCCACCTGTGGGAGAACTCAGACCTTGAAGATCCCTACACCCCAATCGAAGAGGGGCGTGGGCCTGACTAAAGTGGGCAAAGCTATACAGCATCTTGGCGCTGTGGTTGTACCAGGTCTCATTCTATGAAATGCTGTTTTGGCAACTGGAAATCAGTTCTGCAGCTTGTTAATGGCTTGGAAATGGTGTGGGCAGCTGCAGTTGTAGGTGCCTAACTGTTTATGTGGGCCAGTCCCTCTTTCCATCTGAAATTTGTCAAGGATGGACAAACGATTGTCACCTTGGTCCAATAAACATTTTATAAATTGACCCCCTACACATAAAATAACTAGAATATGCCCATCGCATACGTTCCTGGAATATCTTGAGCAAGGCGGGTGCAGTAGCAACTGTCCCTCTCACTTATTCTCTCTCCCAACTTCTCCCACCCTCTCTCCCCCTTTCTGTCTTAACCCTCTCTCCCACCCCTACATGCTCCCCTCCTTTCTCCCCTCACTTTTTGCACTCCCATCACCCCCCCCCCCCCCCCCCCAACTATAGGAAGGCCACATGTATCTACCTATTGACACAGGTTTTATTTAACCATACTCCTTTATGGTCTCCTAATGGTGCTTTGAGTCTTTCATGCTTTAAAGTATATTTTACACTCAACCCTTTTGTTGTTATGGATAGAATAGTGAATGTTTAGAGCCCCTATTATGGTTTACTGTTATCCTGGATTCCATTAGATGCAGAATAAATGGGATGTCTTAAAAGGATAGTCCACCTTTACCAAAAATGTAGTAATTGCACCCACATTAATAAAAATGCAAAATGTGTACTTGTTACATTTTTAGAGTTGAAACCTGCATGTTGGCAGGGCTCACTACCTGGAGTTATTTGAACACTGATTATATATTGCAGAAATTGCATAGGCACAAACAAGGCAGTTTTAACAATAGTTCTATATATCCTATAGACGATACAGGAGTAGTTTTCCAGAAGCGCGATGCTACAGGCTGCTAGAGGATCACTTCCCTTGGAGAGGTGGTGGGGGTTACTGAGTCGTACAGAAGATGGGCTGCAAAGGGATCACTTCCCTTGGAGAGGTGGGTTACTGAGTCACACAGAAGTCAGGCTGCTAGAGGATCACTTCCTTGGAGAGGTGGTGAGGTTATTGAGTCACACAGAAGACAGGCTGCTAGAGGATCACTTCCTTGGAGTGGTGAGGTGGTAGGGTTATCATAAGTAAATACAGCCATCCCCAAATGTTCTGCAGATATCTGGTTGCCAGTGGGAGAGACTAGCCAGGAAGCTGGCAGAGGTGATGCTCCGCAACAGGAACCCTATCCATAATTCTGCTTCTACTCTCTTCCTATCCAACAAGGGCTCTCTCCCTATCTGACTCCACACTACTGGCACACAAAATGATGCAGACGGCCACTATTTATTTAATTTGGAGTCCAGATGGCTACCGAGATCTTGTGGGGTTTCAGCATCCAACAAGTTTGTTGTCCTCCCTAAGATGACTGCCACTAGCATATAGCAGAGAACAATATTCGTTCTCAATGGTCTCCCGCCAGCCTGAAAAATAAGCACCGTGCCATTTTTAGGTTCCTCAGGCAGAGCATTGCAACCAAGATAAGTGTGGTAGGTGCAATGCTCAGGTTACTGCAGACTCTTCCCCCAACCCACAGTCCATACGTTGGCATCTTGTTATGGGGTTGTAAACATTAGACTACAAGTGCAGTTTCATCACTGCGCTTGTGCTCCATTGAGATCTGCTACTTGAAGTGTCTCAATTCATACATGATTGTGGGTAGAGCCACCTACAGCCTCAATTAATTCAAAAGGAAACCGGACATTCTAATGCACAGGTGTCAAACTGGCCGCCCTCCAGCTGGGAGGAATTGGTTGGGGAATGTGGTAGTGTTTCATATTACACCCTAAATATGTCCTTAAGCAACAACAAATGAATGTTAAAACTTGCCTTAAGTCAAACCTGTTGCGATTTTAAAAGAAACTGAAAAAGACTCTCCTGTCCTGCCTTCCTTCCTGAAATCTTCGCTTTGTTCAACAGTTAGACTCTGGCAGAAGTTTCTCATCTGCCTGCAGCCCCTGCTATGTGCTGTAGTTCCTCCTGCTGGTCACTATATGTCACTGCAGGACTGAGCAGTGATGAAGGAAGCAACAAGGGACAAGTGTGAACACTTAGTATCATCCTGCTGTTCTAGCCCAATGAATGGTCCAACATTCTGCTTTTCAGTCCCTGGCAGTTATTCACTTGACTGTTGAATCCCAGGTCCAAAGGGACAGATGCCTATCTCATTTGGTCATCCCCCACTCTCTTGAAGGTTGTGAAGTCAGCTTCTTGCGGAATCTATCGCTCCTGAAAAGCTTATATTGCCTAGGAAGTACTCGTAGAAGGCATCTTCTCATTACTCTAGCCTGGTTTCAATCCACATTTGGACTTGAGTACCCTCAAGGGACAAATCTTTGCCTTGGCCATTCTGTTTCAGAGACTGTTGGCTTTTCATCTCATTTCCTAATGAAAGTATAACTAAAGACAAATCTTTTTATTTTTTGGATAGAGTGAAGATGGATTAGAACACTTTTTTTATTTTCTATTTTTGTTACCATTTATTAAAAGTGAAAGTA